ACCGTATGGGTCTTAAACCCGGTTCTGACCCTCTATATTCTAGGGGAGTTAAACCAACAACATGCGGATCAAAAACAAGGTTTATCTAGCACCACTATTATGTACCTGATCAGACATGCCGGTGTCCTTATGCACGGTGCACAGATGTACGAAATTCTGTACTAGGAGGACCTTAGGCTTAGGAGATATGTACATACCTGGTTGGGTGTTGATACAATCGTCATGTGTATTTGACCAATTTAGACCAATTATCCATGGCAGATAATCGCTTCCAGTCCAGCTTCATCACTGTATGTGGATAGAACTAATGGCAAGCTAGATCTTTGTCGGAAAAAGGGTTTTGTGTGAAGTGCCTTCAGGGCCCATTTCTTAGTAGAATACCGTAAAATCCTGCCAGAGCGCCCCTCCCTGGCTTCTTGTCAGAGAAGTGATTGATCATATCCCAGTATGACTCTGTGATGCCGTACAGTACTGTAGACGCTTGCTCGGCCCGGTTGAAAATGTACGCAACAGTGCCCACCCTCTTGACCAGGGATCGCACAAACTCTGAGTTTTGATGGGTCTGTACGACTCCCTGCTCTTGACCTTTGGTCGGTGTGCGAGATGCACGAACAGTTTTCGTAGGGTGAGTACTTTTCATGTAGTACAGAATGTGGAAGTAGTACTCGCCCATCCGCCCCTCCCCACCTGGACCTACTCGAAGGGTGGCAGAGGTAGGGGCGATCTGGCGGGATTTCATGGTAGCAAGCACATTTAGAAAAGCGATCCTGTCAGCTTTTCTATTATTGTGTTCACATGGCAAGAAAAACGACACCGCTATGCTACGTAAGTTTCTACGTAAGGTGCTCGGTATTTCACTTAGGCTACGTAAGTCTCTACGTAAGGTGCTCGGTATTAGATCTACCAACGGGTGGTAGCCGCGTGCGGTGCACTTGCACGGCAGACATTGTGTTGCATGCAGTGCAGTCCGTGTTCGAACGTTCGGATGTGCATGCGCAAGGAACTTCCTTCTTTGGAACTGCTTCTTGTAAGAGCTGTTTCGGATATTTCGTCTCCTGGCCTGGCTTATTTCGTTTCGGCGCTGCTGAGACCTCCTTTCGTGGAATATTACTCAATGACAGGTGAGTTGACCAGTTCCCTTTGATTCATTTGCTTGTGTTGACTCTTTCATTTACGAAAAGTGTGCTGATTTTGGGCGGAATGCAATAAAATTAATAATGGAAAAGCGGACAGGATCTCTTTGTTTCCTTCGATTCATTTGCTTATGCTCACCCTTTCATTTACGGAAACGTGTGCTGATTTTATTCGGATTTAGATCCATTTTTATCTCTTTGCCCTTGTCTACAGTGTGCGAAGAACGCGAGTTCACCTTCTTGACGGTAAGGCTTATGTTAGATGTGTTGTCGAAATACTCATATTCATTGTACATTGGTACGTTACAAGTAAGGCACTGGTCAGTGGCATACTATCGTTGGCAGTTCCCAATCTGGAGGGAAAGGTTCAAGGACCCATTGACCGAGTTTGCAAAATATATTCGCATATCAGGGAAAATCTCCATTGTGGAGAGGATCAGTAACTTGTTTGCTTCATATGAAACAAGCCAATGGGTGCAGTCTCGTTAAGATCTTGTACTTGTATGTCAGATTGGATTTGTTTACTCGAGTCTGGGCTGTTTGATTTATTATTTGTGAGTACCGCCGGGATTGCTCTGCCCCAAATAAAGTTCGTGCCGCCAAAGCAAGAATTACGATCTGCAATCTGTTTGTAGTACCTGTAGTACCTGCAAGAATGTGCTGTACATGTATCGTACTTTCTCTGTTGCTGTTTCAGTTGCCGTCATGTTTCTAAAGAAAGGTTCAGTAGAGAGGTTCTGCAAAACGAAGTTTCGCGACAGTCCTTGCGAAAGTGTGTTCGAATTTTGCGTTCTGCACATTTTCGTAGTTTGCGCGGGCCAAGTGCACGTACACCATGACCCGATCTCACGAATTTTCCTACGACAGTTCATTTCGCGTTCCCTGGAAGTTTCGCGTCCAAAGTTGCGAAAGTTCGTGCGAAGTTTCGCACTTCATGACGTAGAACGAAAGTTTGTACGCATTTTCGTTTTGCAGAACCTCTCTAGTGACTCATTTGTTTCATATGAGACGAGTCAATGAGTTGGTGTGACTTAGAATCATCTTTTGCTGTAGAAGAAATCTATTCGTATGTCTATTGGAGAAATATTTGTATTCACTGGTTATAAATAGGTTAATTAAGACAAACTCACATAATAAATACCATCGGTCCCTTGGGGTACGTCCTAAAGAGGTTCGACTGGATATCATTCATACTCACCAAAAGATGTGTAAGATTTTATTATTATGGAGTGCCTTGTTTATCTCTCAGTACCTCCAACCATAGCCTTGCCCCTTTTATCCTCAGGATCAGTGTAGTTGTTGGAAGGAGGTGTCGGACTCAGCAATGTATTTGTTTACATTTTAATACATGTTTATTGTTCCTCTTTTGCTGTGTTGTTTTAGAAAATCGCGGACTAACAGTTTGAAGTCATTGAACTACTTCCAAAAGTTGTATTGACATATCAACATGATTACGATTTCAGTGCAATATGATGCAGGATGACCTTATCACGAAAACCCATGATTATAAACCATGATAAACACAGAATCAACAAAAACATCTGCGACACGCACCTGGTTACATTTCTCAAATAAATCTGATCGAGGGTGGGGAGATCTGAAATATCTGAAAGGCAAGACAATTTTATGACAGAGTCATGAAATTCTGCAACATGCACAGAATGACCTCCGTATAAAAAAGTATCACCACCACCAGACCACTACTCACATGTCATGTTTCCCCGCTGAAGAACGTGCAATTGCATTATGCTAGTGCTATTTTCTGCAAGAAAAGGCTTGCACATCAATACGTATAACACGGTATTGATATGATGTGAAGGCCATCATTGAATGCCCTATATCAAGAGTACATAACCCACTCTTGCGCGAATTGCTAATTGCCTATATCAATATGTAAATTTTACATCTTGATATAGGGCATTCCATTGATTGGTGACAGAAAAAACAAAAGAAATTATAGCAATAAAAACTGCTTTATGGCAGTTTTCTAAAAAAAGTTATTGTGTTCTAGTCCATGGACCCCGTCTAAAAAGTAAGAAATTAACGAAATGTGATAGCTGAAAATTAAAATTTCACACAAAACCTCACAATAATCACACATAGAATGAAAAGCTACATGTACGACGCTCGTAGAAGACCTTTTCCCCTCGTGATCCTCTTTCCTTTGCATGCATGTTGCCAATTGTTGGTGCAGTACAAGTTTAGTGTTGAAAGCAGCATTTCAAGTGTTGTGATTATCGTGAGGTTTTGTGTGAAATTTTAATTTTCAGCTATCACATTTCGTTAATTTCTTACTTTTTAGACGGGGTCCATGGACTAGAACACAATAACTTTTTTTAGAAAACTGCCATAAAGCAGTTTTTATTGCTATAATAGCAATAGCAACGCCAAATTGGGTCCACGGGATTTTACTAGGTACTACGGGATTCCGTACATCTATACAATGTGCACGAGGTGTATTGTGCACAAGGCACAGCTGTACCAGCTGCATTGGCAAGTATTGTGTACAAGCAGTGCATGCGTCAGTTCAATACTGTATCTTGACGTACTGCACTGTCTTGTATAAAAGCCGGTCTCGTATACTGTAAAGCAACAAACTTTCGCGGCGCGCAAATTTAGCGTTTTAATAAATTGGGCTGGTTCACGATGAAAAACTTTAGCGATTCTATCTCTTCAGTCAGATCTTGTACTGTCTACAATCAAGGTACGGAGAGGTTTGCAGCGATTTATTTCCGCGAATGTGTGATGGTCTCGAAAATAGCGAAATTTAATGTCTAGCGAAAGTTTCTCACTTTACAGTATAGTAGCTTAGAAGCCTGTTTGGAATACAAACCTGATATGATTATCAATATACACTGTCAACACATAAGCCTGGTTTTAGTACTGACATACATAGAGATACGTGGTTCGAATAGAAGCCTGACTTATAGGCCATTCACACGACGTGTAAACACTTGAACGTGTGTGACCAAGATAACACTGGCAAACCGTGATCCAGTTCACATGATGCTGGGCAAACTTTGCTTTCAACAACCGACACTTTCCCTGGCTTGCAAAGATAATCGCAAGCAAAAGGGCCTCGGCCAAGATAAAAAATCAGTTGCACGCGTGTGTCCAAGTTTATCGTATCCGAGTAAATATCCTTGGAAACGGTACGATAAAAGTGAATTTGCACGTCGTGCGGATGGCCTATTACTATAGTATTAGCACTGACATCGGCTTCTACAGGAATAAGCTTGGCTTTTATAAGTGACTACATTACGAAGTCGCTTCACAAGTAGAAATTCGACAGGGGACGGAAAATAGGCTGCGTTTGCACGAGATTTTTCAACCCGGGTTCAAAGTATACTGTACTGTAGAAAATAGGTGGGTGTTTACACCCAATGCTGTAGGCAGCAAGCTGTTTCGACCATCTCCTCGTAGGCCTCATCCTTACAGCTACAAGCTTTAGGTAGGCACTGACGTCCACCAGCACTGAGAATAACCGGTTGTCTCTATTATTATCATTTTTCTGTTTCTCTCTCTCTTCCTCTCCTGGGAAGCTCCTCATGCTCATTCTCCCTTTCTCTGTCCATTTCCCCTTCCCGATGCGTAGACCAACTGTTGAACCCGAGACAACTAGGGGGAGGTTGACCTACCTCATCGGCACGCATGCCAGGCTCCTCTGTGTTGTCAATGTCCGCTTGTCCAATTTTGTCTACCTCCCCTTTTATGTTGCTGGCCAGTGCTTTGTAGTAAAAAAAAAAAAAAAGCCAAACCGCTAGAAACTTGTACATGTATGTACCAAAAAAAGGCTTCAGCACAAACAGTGAGTCGCCTCCCATAGCACCCGGCTCAATTCACCACCATCACAGCAACAAGTAACAGTTCTGGTAGCACTATTAAATCTTGATTCCTCATACTTTCAAGCAGCTTCTTCGCCCAGCTTAGGCTCATCAGAGGACTAGCAATATTCCGATACACATTACAACTAGAAGCCAAATCACTCGGAAAAGAATAGCGAAACGATTGACTAAAATCATAGAAAACCGAGCTTATGGTAATTATAGAAAATAGGCAGGCAAGAGCAACTGTTATCAGCAATAATAAGAATGTTGGCAATCGCAATCTGTTTGATATCTGCAATGTAACAGCTCAACGTGGTTATTGCACGGTGAGGCTCAGCGAAAATCAAGTGCGAAATATATCAGGTCCACTCATGCAGCCATCCAATGCAAAAAGAAGTTATTTCCCTTTTTTCATATTGTAGAAATGGATGCAACATGCAGCATGGCAACAGAGCACAATACACACTGCTGGACAGAGCAAGTAAGCCGGTGCTTGCATTGGTAAAACTGGGCTCCCACTTTAAATGGCACCGGGTTATTGAAAAAAAGCCGAAAAACTCTAAAGAAGTAGAACTAGTTATCCTAGCTTGTTTTATGATGTGAGCATAATAGTTTCAGGCATAACAAATCTTTATCAAATCTCCGTATTTTCCAGGGTCACTAGTGCATCGGCAGTTGCCTCTTAGTAGTTAAGCACCCCGCAGAATTTTGTGATAATTTCAGTATTTTGTGGTCAGCCGCTAAATAATATGACGATGATTGGATGGGCTGTTTGCAGTGGAGCATTTTCAACCAGTTACTATGGAACTCTTGAAAGCCTACGGGTGAAACACACCACAAGTTTACACCATGGACCTGGTGACGACCAGTAGTACATTGTAGTAGCAGCAGCAGCAGCAGCAGCAGCAGCAGCAGCAGCAGCAGCAGCAGCAGCAGCAGTGTTGCATGCAGTAGGTACATACATCACACCCAGCCAACGTGAAGCACATAATACAGATGCGCGGTTCTCTGCAGTAACAGCAGCAGCAGCAGCAGCAGCAACAGCAGCAGCACTGTCAGCAACAGTCCTAGTAGCTAGTTACTTGGAGTGATTCAATGCCAGCACATACAGAAGAGCACAGGAGTAAGTAAGCGCTGCTGCTGCTGATGATGATGGGGTCGTGTGCAGTAGTCAGCTAGGAGAGTTTCTCCGTTGTTCCGTCCACCCAGCGGCCCACAGTTGACCTGAATGACGCGTACAAGATAGCAACACAACGCACATGCACACACACACATGCAGGTACGCACGTGCACACCCACACACTTAGCTGTGGTGCTCTCACAGATCTCCGGCGATGGTCTAGAGCGACCAGTAGTGTACATCAGGCGGTCCTGCTCGGCCCCTGAACGAAACTACGCAATCACTAAGTAGGAATCGATTGCGGTAGTTTCAGGCCATACATTTTGTTGTGCCCGTTTTTGCTTCGCACGGATCACGGCAGCCTGAGATGGCTAATGAATTTCAAAAATTCGGAAGGCAAGATTGCCCGATGGCTCAGTACGTTGGGGAGTTCCACTTCACCGTGGAACACCAGCCCGGAGTACAGCATGGCAATGCGGATGGTTTGTGTCGGCAGTTCAACACTGACCCATCGTTTAATGTAGTGTTGTTGTCCATGCCTCTTTCGGAACATGTACTCTGTGTGCGCTGGGTCCGCGCAGGCGGTGTGTAGACCACACGCGGACTGCGCAGGTTGCGATTGTACGCATTCTTGATTTTCTGCTCCTTGCTTCTTCCTGAGACTCGAGCGAGGGCAACTTTCATACATAAATCTCTCTACGGATTTCCGTAGGAAAGCCCTTTCCTATGTTGGGTCCTCCGTAGGACCAAGAGTACATGAAAACCAGAGTGTGCAGCTTGGGACCTTTTCTGCTATGGGTGTCTGTCACGGCGGAATTCCGTGATTATATTTGGCGCAGATCTGAGGCGGGAAATGGCGTAGTGCGTACAACTGAGCTGCAGTTGTGCAGAAAGAGACCTGCTTGAATCCTGCTTGTACGCACTACATCACTAAAATGATGTAATCACGGAATTCCGCCGTGACAGCCACCCATCCGAGCTGCACTGGTTTTCATGTACTCTTGGTAGGACCTTTTGAGATATTTTTCGCATTTTCCGGATTTATCCTATCCCGCAACCTTCAAGCCGCGTGAACACAAGGTACACATACCATACACCACATGCAAAATAAAATGGAAAACGCAGTTTCGGTTCGTGGTGCATGCGGTGGGCCATGCATTACGTGCAGTTCCTACGTTATTTTCACACGTAATTGCGCAGAGCGAAACCTCCCTAATGTACATGAACAGTGCTGCTCAATGCAATGCGAGTCAGCAAGTCAGTGCCAGGCCGGGCACAGGGCACTGGGCACAGGGCACTGGGCAGCCCCAGACAGGAACTGGCGATTTCATTGAGCAGTACTATACATGTACAATTGTGGCCAAAGAAATGCGATCCGCGAGTTAAAAGTAGCGCCGCGTTTATATTTCAATTACGGCATATAAAGGTCCAACAAGTGGCAAAACCCCATTCAAGGGTCGCAGGGGCTGCATGAGCCTTGGCGCCGACTCGTGGGTCGGAATTCTTTGGCCACAACTGTAGGAGCTGCTGCTACTGCAGCAGTACAAGATCAACACTCCACACAGACAACTGCACAAGTGCTCCAAGAATAAGACTGGCTTTTTGTACAGTGGACACATGATTTTCAGGATAAGTGACAAGAATTTCGGGTAGTGTTGAAACGAGCGTATCTATAACAAACGAGCGTTTCCACTGGCGAGCGAGCTATCGAGCGAGTTAACGAGTTTCACTGATGTGGCAAAATGATTTTTTTATTCAGCTGCTTTGAATTTCACCGCCAGCGCTGGGGTTGCTGCTGCTTTCAACTGGGGACAGGTATTTAGTGTCGAGATGTCTTTTCTGCACCTTCGTTGAGCCGCCATTGTAAGAAAAGACAGTTTTTTTTCAAAGGTTGCAAGTAGCCCTGTTCCTCGTCGCCTTTTGGGAAAAAAACACTTCCGAAACGACTAAGCATGACTGTCGCTCGAACGGAGATTCACTAGATGCACTGACTGTACTGTACTGTAATGTGCATGCTGTAACGTATTCGGTGCTCGTTAGTGCAAAACGAGCTGCACAAACGAGCCGAGCTTGACGCTTGGTAGGCATGGGATATTGTAAAACAGTGGTAACATGGTAACAATGCTCCTAAATGCAATGTACATACCGGCGAGGTTTGTTGCGACTGCTGAAGGGCTGAGAGTCCACTGCTGCTGCCGCCGTCGACCACTGTGTTGACTGGTAAGAATGTAGACATTTAAAACACGATGTCAGCACGCACATACGCACACATACGCACCGCGCATGTACACACACACACACATACACACACGCACACAGTGGACATCAAAAGTCAGGAGTCCATCAACTGGCAATTCAGCCCGAGAACACTCTACAACAAGTCTATATACACTCAGTGTGGCATGGCAAACACACGACAGGGTACGACAAGGCGAACACTACCTGAATACACAATCCCTCCTCATAAAGGCCTCTGTAGAGGACACCCCACGTTCAGGATGATCAGTTTTATTCCATTCCCAATTGTTTTCAATAAAAAACAGCAGTCTATAGCAATCTATAGGGCCACTGAGCATCAAGTAAAGTGTCCCTTTTATTCCATAGGAAACTGCAGGAGCTTTCTTGTTTTCACACAGCAGCATTGCTGCAAGAAGAGAGGAAAGCTATCACATATGTATTCACAGCATGATTCTATGCTGAGCAAGACCCAGGGGCGTTGGACACGGTACGGTCACTACGGTATTGACCGTACCACTTTTTGCCCCAGGTACCCCGTGAATCAATAAAATACACTGATCTGGACTCAAAATTTCCAAAATTTTCGGCTCCGCCATCCCTTCCCCACGAGTAAACTGTACTTCAGATGACTGATCATACCACCTTAAAATACCTTCCGACGCCCCTGAGACCCCTTTACAAAGTGAGTGTAGGGACATGAACTCACCGATACCAAGGCAGACGCAGGTCTTGCTGTGCTTTCTGATGGAGTAATAGGAGCTGTGACACGTGGACATAAACACACACACACACACACACACACACACACACACACACACACACACACACACACACACACACACACACACACACACACACACACACACACACACACACACACACACACACACACACACACACACACACACACACACACACACACACACACACACACACACACACACACACACACACACACACACACACACACACACACACACACTATATCTAATACTGTCTAATGATTGCTTCAGTACGCAAAATGTGATGCCACAACTCAGCAGCATCGCATCATTTGTGTGCATTCAGCAAATAAAAAAAGAAGGAAAGCCATCGTACAGTTGCGGCAAGTGATATCTGGGCCGAGGGCAGCTCTGTGCGGTTGCAGTCCCGGCGGCCTCACACTCGCACACACGGCCATCTAAATTGGTTCACGGAGTTACAAGCGTACATTTGTCCGGATTCCACTCGCCAAAACTTGCACGCGGACAGTCGGTCATGGACGCTAGCAAGTACAAAGTGTAATGTAAGGCTAATAGTGACTTACATCGGTTGGGTGTTCGACTGCGGTGCAACTCTGAAGGTGGGATTACGCCAGCCGCAACCAACTCCTCGCTCACCGACTGTACACAAAGCAGCAGAAATACATGCGCGCGCATACACAGGGAGACACACAGACACAGACACACCGGCACACACACACTCGCACACACAAACATGCACATACACGGACACGCACGCACACACACACACGCACGCACACACACACGCACACGCACACACACACACACAAAGAGGCTAGGTAAGAGAGAACATGTACTCGTTGGAGACGGCGATAAAAGTGAGCAACTCCCCAGTGTTAGCCAGATTACATAAACCACTAAAACCAGACCAGAGTGTGCAACTCCGCATATCATGGGTTCAGGACATTAGTGCAGCGCAACAGTGTGGTTGCGGATCTCCTGAGGAAACCCGCTTTCCCACACAGACACTGAGCTGAGCACTCTGGTGTACATACTCTTGGTAGTAGGCACAGCAACTGCCACTCTGATTGTAATATTCAATGGCTTGCAAGGTTGAAGAAAAGATCACCACTATTTAGTGGTTCACTGGGTTGAGGGAAAGACACAAACAGGAAAAGTCTGAAGAAAAACTTGACTGTCACCACCAGGATTCGAACCAGGGACCTTCGCTTGAGGCCAGCGATGCTCTAACCACTGAGCTAAATTGTGGACATCATCCCAGCAGAGACCGTTCAACATCCTCTTTAGACTTCGTAACTCACACTTCCTGTGAATCCACACAGGCGGGTGGGACGCAGCCCTCACTGTAACCCACACAACTATTTAGCTGTATTTGATTTCTAGAAGTATGTGCGATCAAGAGTAAGAAAGGTGGCCTAATGACGATGGAAAGATACAAGAGAGTAGCCTCCGCCACCAGGCATACTTGTGCAGCGAGGTTGCCATGAGCACATGGTTGTCACTATTTGCACATAGAAATGAGAGGCATGCAGAATGGCGAGCTGCAGTTTATTGCGAATACACACGTGCGCATGTGTGTGTGTGTGTGTGTGTGTGTGTGTGTGTGTGTGTGTGTGTGAGAGAGAGAGAGAGAGAGAGACGGCGAGAGCAGGAAAATATATGTACTTGAAGTACAAGTACCCCGTTGCTTATTAACACACCAACCAGACGGACACCGCACCCCACACATACACCACACCCCACCCACCCACACATACACCACACTCACTCACCCACTACACATCCCACAAGCATCATTGCACAAGGACACAGGTACACACCTGTTGACTTGCGGGTGTTGTCCAGGTATTCCGGCGCCACATCTGACTTTTCCCATTGCCTGCTTGCGAACGCGACGAAACCGATGTGGACACAGAGACGGGCGCTTTCTCAGACGCACGCCGCGAACTGTACATTGACGATGTAGATGACGATGCTGATGACGATGCAGCGGTTGATGGCTGTGACGTTACAGAGCTGGGTGCCGTTGCCGCCGCTGTTGCTGCCCCCGCCGTCTGTCTGGATGAGCGGTTGTTGCCATCCAGACTCTCCCAAGCACGCCGCAGGTTCTCCATGTTAGTACTCGTGTGTTTCACCTGAAAACAACGGCAGCAGAGAATGAAATTCAAGATACACTCTCTTATCCGGGCAGACTGGGACCAGGTACTGCCCAGAACTTGGATACGCCTGTAACTCTGACTCACATACATTTTGATGGGGAAGTGCCAGAGATCTGATGATGACGTCACTATTTCAACAAAAATTGGCAAAAGAGTTGTAATATTTCCAATAAAAGTCACCCACAGGATACCTGGTAGACCAATGGGCCCGAGACTTGGAGGTCCGGATAAGATAGATATGAGTGTATAGGAAATAGCATAGAGTAGGCTTTGCGTTTCTCTTTCTCTTTTCTCTCTGTCCTCCTTCTCTGTATTCCATTCTTCCATGGTTGGCTCTCACCCATAATCTCAACTGATTAATTGGCCGTCTTTTGAGCTTTGACATACCGGGAGATGTTGTCTACTCGAAGTAAATACATAAATGCATGAAAAGGCCGAAGGACTGTTGACATACAGAACCAAAAAATAGCCCTTGAGTCCCACCTCACCTGCTGAACAACTCGTCCCTGGGATGCTGCCGCAACAGCGGCCGCAAGAGGGTTATCCTTGGTTGTGTCTTCTTCGATGGTGGCAGGTATCATGTACTTCATATCCGTCATCAAGATAAATTCGGTAGCTGCTTTGAACGTCACCAAGCTGTAGCTGTGGAGTGATTGGTGGTCATGGTCATGGAAAGGTACATGCACATACACATGGGCATATGTCCACCCCACACACGTACGCACGTGACACACGCACGCACGCACGCACACACACACACACGCACATGCACGCACACACACACACACACACACACACACACACAGAGGAACATGTCAACAACTCTTTGACATGTTGTAAATAGTACTTGACATCAGGACAAAGCAGCAAAACACCACGGTAAACGAGCCAAGTGCATTGAACGGCATGGCTGTACCAGAGTGTCTCTTCAGTCTTCACACTCCCTTCAATATCAAAATGCTATAAAATGAAGGCGCGGTCAATTGAAAACATATACAGTCGATTCTACGTTAAATAACGAACTCGCATACAGCGAATTTCATGATAATATAGTGAACCTTTGTCCATGTCCCAGTTTGAACCCACAGTGTAAGTGGATTTCTGTTAAAACGAACTTCAGCGGCTATAAAGAACTAATTCTCCTGCACAATGCTCTTCGTTACATCAGGAGTCGACTGTATGCACAGGGCCAGGACGCCGGTTGTTTCACTGAACGACCGGAAGCCAGGGTAATCTATTTCCATGGCAATTCTAGCACGTCATGTGCCTTGTTTCCTACAGTGCCGGAAACTGAAATCCGACCCCTGGTTTTGTGCTCGAGTGCAGCAACGATTCTAGCCGTCTCTATTTCGTGGAGTTACAATCCCGTGCTGGCTGTTTGCACTGTGAGCGCACCGCACCGCCCCAGGATCGGATTTCAGTTGCCAGCACCGCTCCAGGATCGGATTTCAGTTGCCAGCACCGTTCCAGGATCGGATATCAGTTGCCAGCACCTTTATCTAATACACTAGTAGCGGTGATACCTACCCAAGATTTGCTTTAGATGATGATGCCCAGTGGAAGTTCTCAACATAGTACAGATTAGTGGCCAGCCGATCTACATGCAGCATAACACCCACACACACACACCCACACATCCACATGCACACCCACACCCACACGCACGCACACACACACGCACACCCACACGCAGAACATCACCATAACGTGAATATGCGTGCACAGAGGCGAGCAAAACCCTGCTGCGAGCGACTCAGCCAGTGCACAAAGTTATCATATACTTCTGATAGTAGTGATACACAAAATAGTACAAGTACAGTACACAGTCTATAGGTACTGGTATTTCAGAGCGGGATAAGGCCTTCCGTACGGAATAACTTGCAATAGAGACAGAGAAACCCATCGTGAGAGAAGCCCTGCACTGCAGGGTTGCCGGCCGGGTGAACTGTTGCATGATAGGCGTGTTCACAAAATCCCAACAAAGACCACAGGAGCTACGGTACTGCCCAATGAAATCCAGTCGCATCACTAAGTACGCGCTAGGCGTGGCACAGCCCTAGACCTGCAAACACTGGGCTGGGAAATGGTGCAAGGCACACACTTGAGTGACACGACTGGATTTCATTGAGCAGCACTGTACATGTAGCTACTACCAAGAGTACATAACCCCAAGCTATGGGGTCTGCGACGGCAGAACTTCACATCACGTGATGAACCCGTGCACTCTGTGCATTTTAGATACTGGGTTGTACGCAGCCCAGCTTTGGGTACAACTCTCTTGTGGTCACTTTACACTGTTTGCCAGCATAACCTTTTGAACCATGTCACGTGATGTGAAGTTCTGCTGTCGCAGCACAGCATAGAGGTTGTGCAGGCAGTTGCACACTCTTGGGGTTATGTACTCTTGCTACTACATGTACACAGGCAATACACAAACAAGAACAACAACTAGCTCCACTCACTACATTTGGCCTGAATGATCACTGTTACCTGTATACAACCACAACAACAAACAAGAAAAAAGACCAAGGAAAACAAGAACAACAGCTTCAGCATTCAACGAGATGTATAGCAGCAGCAGCAGCAGCAGCAGCACCAGCAGCACCAGCAGCACCATCCACCAATCACATACTACTGGATACTAGAGCAGTTCCCAGTACATCCCCAGTCACTTTGATTCGAGTGAATGCAACCAGTGAAACTACTTGTTTTACAGTTAGTCAACACTGGGCAAGGCAGAGTAGGACACAAGCACAGCCGTACCCTCGGCCATTGGACATACTGCACATGTACACGTACATGATTGCTGGCACCGGGAAGCAATAAAGGTCGTAGCTAAAACTAATTAGACTTACAAGGATAGGAATCAAATCATCAGACACTAGACTGGCTGCCGGACCATCTGCTCACACAAACACACATGCACACATACAGACAAACACACACACACACACACACACACACACACACACACACACACACAGACACACAGACACACACACACACACAGACAAACACACACATACACGCATGTGCGCACACGTGCGTACTCACACACAACATTCACACAGAAACAGCAGTGGAGTCAGAAAGGAAGACGGAATATCGATATGAACAACAAAAACAGAAGCAGCAGCAACAACAACAGCCCAAGTAACAAAAATAAAAATAAAAACAACTATAGCAGCAGCAACAAGAGCAGCTGCAGCAGCAGGAACAGGAGCAGCAGCAGTAGCAGCAACACCACCACCATAAACTCACCCCTTCCTTTGTCTTGCGCAAGAACATCTTGTGTCATGTGTTTCTGCACGCCATGTGTTATTAGTTCCTACAGCGCAACAGACATAAAAGCACAGCATAACATACCATCATGTACATGACAAGAGCACAGCATAATAATACACGACAACAACACAGCATAACATACAACAGTACAATATACGTGGCAACAGCACAGTACAACCTACAAGGCAACAGTACAGCATAACATACACGGCAACAGTACAGCATAACATACACGGCAACAGTACAGCATAACATACACGGCAACAGTACAGCATAACATACACGGCAACAGTACAGCATAACATACACGGCAACAGTACAGCATAACATACACGGCAACAGTACAGCATAACATACACGGCAACAGTACAGCATAACATACAAGGCAACAGTACAGCATAACATACACGGCAACAGTACAGCATAACATACACGGCGACAGTACAGCATAACATACAAGGTAACAGTACAGAACAACAGTACAGCACAGCAGTCATCAATAGAACAGCAAAGACAGATATGACAAAACAGGAGACCAACACAAATGCTAAATTACGCTTTCTTCGAGGAGAAGCTCCCAGTGATCTGCAAGTAGCCGAGGATAGACATGGCTGTCAGTAAGGCCAGACAAACACGGCAAACAAATGCCAGCTGATCAGCTTCTGCAGGATATCACATTTTTCAGACAACCACCACCATCAAAAGCTTGCAAGATTCTTTCTGATATTCTCGCTCGTTTGATATCAAAGATTTCTGAAAGAACTCCTTTGTACTTGGAAGTAGTCAAAATAAAGGAGGAACAGGGCTGAAGCAGACTGTTATAGGTGCAATAGTGGTGTGAGATGACAATGGTAAACTTGACATGCCTGCCCGAGAGCAACATTCACACCTCCTTACTGCTTTCACACACCAGCACAGCCACTAGCAGTACCACTACCAGCACCAACACAGCACGTGAGGTGTCAATGTGACACTAGAAACACTACGGCATCCGTGATATTATCCCTGCCGTATCTTAGCACTCACAGGCTCAGTGCTAAAAGGTCCTATTCGCACATGAATGCTGGAACCTTGCACACAAACCTTACACATACATATACAAGTTATACAACATCTATCACAGACAATAGCCAACTGTATAGTTGGTTGACATATTTTTAGATACCCAATAGAACATGATGTGTGGGAATTCTATATGATATACCGTATTTCCCCGAATATAAGTCGCACTCGCTTATAACTCGCACCCCCATTTTCAGGTTTCAGCAATATTGATTTAATATATTGACTTCAGTAGTAAGTCACGCTCGATTGTAAGTCGCACCTTGTAAGCACCTTTTTACCCTTGAATTTTAGTGTAAAAAGGTGCGAGTTATATTCGGGGAAATACGGTGCATGTAGATGTTCAACACCCTCAGCTAATGAATACACACGAGTACTGGACAATCATGTACATGTACAATGTCACAAGCAGTGTGAAAGTCAACTTCAGTGAAGTACACTCCGCCAAGGCATGCTTGCGCCTGGGAGTTGTACTGACATTGAAAGTCTATTCATTACATGTAGGTATGCAGATAATGCCAATGACAATGAGTAGACAGCACTTACTACCTGATGATACACACTATCTCGTTGATTCTTACCAGTGTATTCTTTAGACAATTGAGTTTCTCCAGCGGGGTTGTGAACGAATCCAGAGCAGTTAGTTCCACCATCTATATGCATGCAAGGGCAGCCAGACCAGACCAGGCAGACGGTGTAAGTGAGAAAAGGAGCCGAATAGTAGGTGCGCGTGTGTGTGTGCGTGTGTGTGTGTGTTGCTATAAAGTTGCATAGCTTCTGCTGTAGCATCGCTATCATCGCCCCCGGCGATGGGCGTCAAATGGCCAATGGTGTGTGTGTGTGTGTGTGTGCGCGTGTCTGTGTGTCTGCGTGTGTGTGCGTGTGTGTGTGTGTGTGTGTGTGAGAGAGAGAGAGAGAGAGAGAGAGAGAGAGAGAGAGAGAGAGAGAGAGAGAGAGAGACGTCTACTCACAGCCTCTGGTAGTGGGCAGCAGAACTCTTTACTGACGCCAAGTGTCTCCGGTGTGATTCCACTGCACTGCTTACAACGCTCACAGATCTCCTAATAAGATTTACAGCACAGGCAGAAATACAGACGGTCAGACACACATATGCATGTATGCATATAGATGGACACACACACACACACACACACACACACACACACACACACACACACACACACACACACACACACACACACACACACACATCCATGCATACATACAGAGGGACACACACACACACACACACACACACACACACATCCATGCATACATACAGAGGGACACACACACACACACACACACACACAGAATAATGGTTGGCTCTGCCAAGGTACGATAATCAACACATGAGAAGTCCACACTTTATTGCCAGATTTAATCTGGAAATGGACATTTTATCAATTTCTCAGTTTAATATTCAACATTTCCAGGGTGTCACTTTATACACAGAAAATTCCTAATTGCCAGTCCTGGACTTTTGTGTTCAACCTGACCGCATATCCAACAAAAGTGAGACAGTCTTTGTGCTCAAACGGACATTGCACCTTACAACACGGCGCTGTGACATTGGAATGTCGAATGCGGGACAATTTGTTCACAAAACTCCACAGACCGGACACACATGTCACAAGTCCGGACAATCATTATTACCAAGAGTACATGAAAACCAGAGTGTGCAGCTTGGGGCCTTTTCTGCTATGGGTGTCTGTCACGGCGGAATTCCGTGATTACATCATATTTGGCGCAGATCTGCGGCGGGAAATGGCGTAGTGCGTACAACTGAGCTGCAGTTGTGCAGAAAGAGACCTGCTTGAATCCTGCTTGTACGCACTACATCACTAAAATGATGTAATCACGGAATTTCGCCGTGACAGCCACCCATCCGAGCTGCACACTCTGGTTTTCATGTACTCTTGTTATTACGTACTTCCACCATCGGCATGGCAGCATTTGTCTACTGAGTGCTATTCAGGGTGATGCAACTCCTGTACATATCTATGGTGTTGATTGGCACATAATCTCTTGCTTTCCAACCCCCCACATCTTGAGCAGGGCTAGGGTTGCCGTGGTCATACAAACTTCACCATACATGTTCCAAGTCGACTGAAAGCAGCGTTCTACATACCGGTAAACCATGAACAGGTACCAGAGAAACATCCAGCAAGTCCCCAAAGACAAGAGTTGCCAAGACTGGACTGCATAGATTCCTAGTTGCTCATACATTTGCTGAAGAAAGTGATGTCAGCAATACATGTCACGAATCATGATCGGCGGAAGCAGTTTCTGATTGATCCGGCCATACCCTTGCCTTTCATACAATTTGTGAATGATGTGAAGGATACACACATGACCACTTCAGCAGTAAACACACATAGGTGGCTAAGAAGTAGGCCCGGCCATGGCCTGGCCAACCGGACCGGTTCCGCCGGGCCTGCGAATGACTGGCATGACATGTAACTATACACACAACCATACCTCATCTTCTTCATTCTTTGTCTGGATGACGGCACGTATGACTTTCTGGTGTACCCAGCCCATGATGTAGCTGTGATTGCCAAACAGACACAGACACAGACAGACACACACACAGCAAGAGTTATAACATGAGCAGAAATGGTGCAAACCCATGAGGAAAGAATGATAAAGCAAAACAAACAGTAGAACAGTCACGTGTGCCTAACAAGTAATAACCGATGGAGCCGGCACCTGCAATATCAGCACCCCCCCCCCCCCCCCCCGCCAGCACACACAGACACACAGACACACAGACACACACACACACACACACACACACACACGCACACACACACAAACTTTACCTTTCCACAGCAAGCCGTATCGAGTCCTCTACCCGTGAATCTTGCAAAGCAACTTTGCGCAACGCCGGCACAAACGTGAAGACCGTCTAGTACATACGGACACACACACACACACATACACACACACACACGAGAGAGAGAGAGAGAGAAAGAGAGAGAGGGAGAGGGAGAGAGAGAGAGAGAGAGAGAGAGAGAGAGAGAGAGAGAGAGAGAGAGAGAGAGAGAGAGAGAGAGAGAGAGAGAGAGAGCAGCGTCAACAGAAATGGACTGGCAAGAAATGCAGTACATGTACAACCTACTGCAATACGACCACCACAAGCACCACAAGCACCACAAGCACCACAAGCACCGACACAACCAACACCACCGCCAACAGCAGCGGCAGCAACAGCAGCAACAACAACAGCAGCAGCAGCAGCAGCACCACCACCACTACCCACCCAACCCCAGCACAACCAGTGTGTATCATAGACAGATAGTTAGACACATCATTCCAGCACCAAACGAGAGAGCTTGGAAGCTCAGGGCCCTACGCTATGCTTTTTTGCCTTGATGACCTAGACAAAAAAAAAGCATAGGGATGTTATAAATTCTTTAAAAAATCCTTTTTTTTTTAAGACATAACCTGGGATTCGAACCCGCACTATCGCGCGCCCTGCATGCACCCCCCGATACACTTCGCATACATACTAATTCTTCCAAGTTGTTTCACATTGTGATCTTGCATTTGAAAGCCCTATTTGAATATGCATTGTGGCCAGCCGTCTTTGATGGCACGGTACGGTAGGGGATAGGTACGGGACAGGTACGATCGAGGGTAATACGACACCGTCTAGCTGCCCGCAATATTCAAATAGGGCTTTCAAACGCAAGATAATAGGGAGGTTTAGTTCCCACGTAACGGAAACGCGTACGTGGGTGATCCACGTAAAGTGGATGAAGGGCACCTACGTTGCAATGTTGTGTTTAGTCACACGGAACAAACAAAAGCATGAAGCGAAAGGCCCAAACCTGGTCAAAGACGAAGCTACCCGGCCTAAGAAGCTCATCCAATATTTTGATTTCGTGCTTCGGAAACTTCTTCAGCTGAGCACCCTCACAGCTCGCACAATGCGCTCCATTCTGATTTTCACCCACGTTCTGGCGGAACGTGGGTGAGCCTCCATACACGGTATGTCGTGAACCAGAAAACGTCTGTACGTGGGTCACTGAGTATCACGTGGTACACACACGTAAAGTACCCACGGATTACGTGGGACTAAACCTCCCTAATAACGTGAAGCAACTTGGAAGAATGGGTATGAATGCGAAGTGTATGGGGGAATGCATGTAGGGCGATAGTGCGGGTTCGAATCCCAGGATATGCCTGAAAAAAAAATAGGAGAATTGAAAAATTTATAACATCCTATGCTTTTTTGCCGTCAGATACGGATAGCGCCAGGCGTGACACAAACAAACACACAAACAAACAAATACCAAATTAAAGCTGTGTGGACCCTGGCTAGCGCCAGACGTTACTGAAGTAACGTCTTCTGCATAGCTACGGGAATAATGATTACTGTTACAGATGACATGTCTACCTGGTCATCCTATTCTCATTCTACAGTAATGTATAGTCAGCATCCCAGACTACATGACTGCCTGTGTACTGTGTAGTCAGCATCCCAGACTATTGTGGAAGCAGAACAATTTAGTCCGTGAATAATTTCGTCCAACCAAAAAGAAAGGGAGTTCGTCTGGTAGAATATTTAGCCCACGGACGATAAAACGTATTGGAAATCTGGACAAATCAACTTTCATCAGGCATTTTATTTTGTCCGACAACTCCTTGAACGAAAAAGACGATATTAAACTCCAGAGGAATATGTTATGCTTGTACAGTACATGTCCGCAGGTAGTGTAGTCAGGGTCCTAGACTACATGCCTGCCTGTGTAGTCAGTAGTGTTGAAACGAATAATCGAATAATTTAGAATATTCGTGGGGTGAACGAATAATCGAATAGTCGTAGGAATTATCAGAAATCGAAAAAAAGAAGAAAAAAAAGAAAAAAAGATCTATGCTCAGTGCTGACCCTACTGATATTTGCACTGCGTAGATCTGCTCGTAGTATTTCTTCTCAATCTCTTCTCCTCCAAGTTTTAATCTCCTATCGGTATCTACAGTCCGTTTCAAAAAGATTTGCAATCCTGGCGATCGCCCGCGGAGTTTGGCGTCTTACCGTATGAGCACTCGAGCGCTGCCTGGAAAAACTCACTGTGAACTCGAAGAAATATTCCGCGCGAAAGCAGGAAAAATGACAACTCACTCACGTTGATACAGTCATGTACGTCTGGTTTCAAACGAGTTCTTCCTCGACTCGATAATGGAGTCAGAGAGGACATGTCGAAACGAAAGTGGTGTAAATGTTGACGAGCGGCATGGGTCCCGTTTTGTGACCAAAATAGTTTCTTTGAGCTGCGATGCAATTTACTCACCGTGTGACGAAAACGACATCGACACGGACTCATTCCCAAGGCCATGACTTGGCAAATCTATCCGTGTGACTTCGACGACATTTTGAGAAAAGCAGACGCTTGTGAACGCTGATAGAACACGAGAAGACGGCGTTGACTGCTAAATTCAAATAAATTGGCGATCTTGAAATACTAAAATAAATATCAAAAAGCTACAGCGCGATGACTTCCATTATAATTCAATCACACCATTGCAGTGTTGTGGGTGTGTTCACATGGCGTGAGCCAGTCAAGTGTCAGTCAGTTCGGCAGGAAGCGCGAGCTCCAACAACAAGTCGTTTGGTGCAGCCATCTTCTTTGTCTTGTACAAGCTTGATAACGATGAAAAAAAGTTTGACTTGAAGATAGGTTGGGATTTGAACTCACAACATCATGGTCAGCAGACAGCATTCATAACCACAAGGCCAAAAAGGAAAGGATAAATCGTGGGTTTTGATAAAAAAATCGATACTGGCTTCCTGGACAAATTGTAAACCATGGGAAAAGGCCGGAAATCTGGCCGAAATTCTAACTCCTTCACGGTTGGTCCAATTGTTCCGAAACCTTCACAGAACAGTTTGCCGTGTCCTAACAAGCCATTCTATGTACTTTGTTGTCCAAATTTCCCTTATCTTCATACTTTTTAAGACCCAAACCTGATTGTAAATCTTTTTGAAACAGACTGTAGTAATACTTCTGTTCTCTCCATACGAGGGAAACATGGATGCAGTGAATGTGATTTTCGGTCTTTGACCACTTTCGACCAAGACCCTATGCAGAGCTGTGTCAGGTGCTGCACACTCTGGGGGGGGGGGGGGTTACCGGTATGTACTCTTGGCGGTACAGGTTAACCGGTTTTGCACCTCCATATAACAAAATCCAATAATCAGCAAAAAAATTCAAAAAAACTACTTTAAAAAAAGTGCTGAAAAAGTGTTGAAAAATGCCATCATGTGTATGATAGAATATAGATTATTCGTTCGATGGAGGGCGAAATTACTCGATTGATTATTCGTTCGAAGAATCCGTGTTCGGTTTAAACACTAGTAGTCAGGGTCCTAGGGTTACATGCCTGCCTGTGTAGAACGCTAACTTATCCACACCACCGATTCTCAGTGCACGATCCATGTAGGGACCGGAGGGGGCACAAACTCAAAGACGGATTCCGCTCCACACGACGATGAGCATTCAGAGAAACGTAGCTTTGCTGCATGCAAGCCACGATGAAAGAAAGAGAAGGACGCCACACCACCAGGACTTGAACCAGGCGTAGAGTATGTGCTGGAGCAGAACACTGCTCTATCAACAGTTGAACACACCTATGGGGCTATGACGCCATGACATGCAGCATTGCTACACTACTACATAAATATTGACGTCAGGTTCGAGTCCTGGTGGGGATGGCATTTCTTTCTCTTTCAAGGCAGTTCACTTCCCTGACTGATCCATTGAATTTCGAAGTTCTCCCAATCCTTTAAAAACACAAGTATGTATAGTTTACCTACCTCCACACCTTGCGAGCAGAGGCGGTCTAGCTTCTTTGCCGTGTGCTCTAGATAACCGTCCACAACAATGTAATTGTTGTTGAATTGTACCATTGCACTGTCTAGTGCTATCATGATCTGAGAAGAAAAAGAAAGAGAGTGAGTGAGTGTGTGTGTGTGTGTATGTGTGTGTGTGTGTGTGTGTGTGTGTGTGTGTGTGTGTGTCACTGTGTGTGAAATAACAATGCGCTATCATTGCTACGCAATGGGCAAGGTCAAGGTCAAAATGTGTGTGAGAGAGAGAGAGAGAGAGAGAGAGAGAGAGAGAGAGAGAGAGAGAGAGAGAGAGAGAGAGAGAGAGAGAGAGAGAGAGAGAGGAGAGAGAGAGGGAGAGAGAGAAAGAGAAAGAGAGAGAGAGGGAGAGAGAGAGCACCAGCGAAGAAAGCGAACATGATACTAAACACCAAAGGCAACAGGACAATACCGCCATTGACAACACCGGTGCTGGACATGCTAAGGAAGAGCACACTGACACGGAAGTAATACCAAAACACTATAAGAAATAGTGTCAGCGACTTCGGCGATGATTTGCTAGGAAAGGGTTTGCTCCCCACACTGGAGCTAGCGCTTTTCCGCCCACTTGACTTGACACTTGACTGACTCATGACTGCCATCCAGAGCACGCAGTCAAGTGTCAAGGCAAGTCGGTGGAAAAGCGCGAGCTCAAGTGTGAGCAGCAAGCTCTTTCCTAAATACTATGAGAGCAGCTTGATCAGCAATGGCAAATGCAACAACTAACCCTGTCGTAGGAGGGTAGACTCTTCAGCAAACGAGTGTGACTGAAGATAAATCAGAGAACATGCATCCGCACACACATGCACACACACACACACGAGCGCGCGTGCGCGCGCACACACACACACACAGCAGGAGGTAGATTTCAACAGACAAGTGGCATACATAGATGTACAAGTTTCAGCACCACACTACTATAAAGACAAGAATAACTATAGCAAGTACTCCACGTGGGAATTACCGGAATACAACGGATAAGAGCATGTAGATGTAACTTGGTTTCTTAGGCCCTCATCAGACTACGTACGTAGAAAATCCAGTACAAAATCACATAAAACCTAAAAGGCAACATTTTTCCATGCCTGCTTTCAGACTACACATTTTACATGCAATATACAGGCAACCTTTGACCCTATACAAAACGCAAACTCCCATCGTATTCATGAGGTTTGTACCGCGTTACGTAAATCGCACCGAACGACTCCATATTGTTAGATGTCCGTGCGCGAACAGCCGTGCCTATACTGAAATTGCGCAAGGGGCCTGGGATGTGTGAAAGCAGCGGACAGTCGTAGATCTACCCGGGTACAAAGTTCGTACAACTGCCTGGTGAAAGTACGATAAATGCAGGAAAGTTGCCTTGTACAAGGGTTGGCACCCTGCCTGAAAGGATTGGGCAGCTTTTTAGGCTTCCCGCCAGATTCCTGTTGTTGTCCTGGAAACTTCTATGTAAATGTGACTTATAGGCTGTTTTGTACCTAGTCTGAAGAGGGCCTAACTGAGTATGTCACACCTACGCTTATGCCACATTTAAGTCCGCACCAGGACGCGCATTAGTAGGGCCATTACTACAGTTGCGCGCGGTGTCTGGCAGACACATCGCTGGCCCTGGAGATCTTGAAGTAGTTTTTCAGAAAATATTTTTTTGCCCACGGAATGAGCGTGGCACAACCACATTGGTGTGTCAATTTCATTGGTGGTTTCCTCATCTGATGAAGATGATGCTTTCGTCAGAAGTCCAGTGTGCAACCACTTCCACGGTGACAGGTGCAACAATTAACACAGCAGCAGCTACCAGCACATCGGCCACAGGTACAGCCCTGGTTACAGGTGAACCCCCGGGTACAGGTAAAGCCGGGGGGGGGGGGGGGGGGGGGGGGGGCGTAGATGTACCAAGCTATGGTCAGCATTTGGTACTCTATCATTGGTATCGGTCAACGTCGTGATTATCACGTGAAGCTTCCCAGTGGTCGGATCTACTGGCGCAACCGCCGATTTCTTCGTCCCAGAGTGTTGCCGGCCCCGTCGCCTGCAGCAGCGTCTACTCCCGTTACAGTTGTGGCACCCCATCAAGCGCCTCAAGTAGTAGTTCAGCCTGCTACTCCGCCTGCAACGCCCGCTTCTGCTCAACAACACAGCCATCGTCCCCGCAAACAGAATGTTCAGCCAGAGAAAGTGAGGCGGCCCGGAGTCAGTCATATTTTGTCCTCTATCCCACACTAACTGGATTAGTCTGTGTCTGTGTTTCCCAGGCCCTGTACCAAGCAGAATCCTGTATTGACGGGACAACATTTTCATGAACCAAAGTGCTGTGGATCGAATATGCATGCCTGGATCAAGCGGAATCCTGTCATATCAGTACAGTTTCCGCTGCACCAAGGGCAAGGGTGTCAGATTAGGGCAGGCTTTACTGTACTACATGTACTTTGACCTGATAACTGATTGGTGGACATGATCTGACATGCAAGCCAGAAGTCCTTACAATGATCATGCAGTACTCAGAGCAGAGAATATGGAATGATCTGCTCGACAGTACTTCAGCAACTTACTCGTTTAGTGCCACTCTCTCCTGAACGAGACGCGAGATCGGAATGCCAATGTCGCAGTCTGCGTCCGCTACCTGACCCAGGTCCTAAAGTCAAACACCGACACAAAGACCAACAAGACAACACACATTATTTACAGCGTTAACTACGTCCTGCGAGTGAAAATTTTATAATTCACCGACTGCTCAAGACATGGGGGCGCGGTGAATAGACCACACAACTACGTCCACCGCGGCAGAATAAAGTGAGCTCTATGCTCGCATTTGGGAGAGAATCTCTCGCTCAATCTCTCTTTTACTGTTGTGGTAATGATGTGTGTTGAGCACAAGAGCAGTGTCTGTGAGTAGGACACAATGACTACAGTGGAGGTTATGCACTTCTCTCAACGTACGTGTTCTGCTGTTATGTTAAGTGACGTAGCAAATGCCAGCTTACCACACCAAACAAAGCGGGGATGATGATGATGTCAAGGCGAAAAGGCAAAGGCCCACCGTGCATTGTCAAAATGGTATATCTGAGTAATGCGTGTGTACAGTGCCACTATTCAGTACCTCACACAGCCATACCCCCAGGTGCCTGTGTGCATGCTGGGATAAGGGATGCACAGTGCCACTATTCAGTACCTCACACAGCCATACCCCCAGGTGCCTGTGTGCATGCTGGGATAAGGGATGCACAGTGCCACTATTCAGTACCTCACACAGCCATACCCCCAGGTGCCTGTGTGCATGCTGGGATAAGGGATGCACAGTGCCACTATTCAGTACCTCACACAGCCATACCCCCAGGTGCCTGTGTGTATGCTGGGATAAGGGATGCACAGTGCCACTATTCAGTACCTCACACAGCCATACCCCCAGGTGCCTGTGCGGCGTGTTGATGGTACAAACTACGTCATTGCATATTGGACTTAGGGGCCGTCCGTAATTATCGATCTTTTCCACAAAGAGAAAACGTTTCGTTTACGGGTGGGTGGATTGAGGAGTTTCGTTTAGAAAAGTATTGATAGCTGAAACATCAATCCATTGTAGCTGTCACGTCAATTTATTTTTCGTTGAAGGTGGTAGGTGGGTGGGGGAGGGTCATAACTAAACTTTTTCATTCCGTGAAAATTATCGATAATGCCGGATGGCCCCTTATTAAACCTCACGTACTGGAACCTAGACATTGTAGACATTATTCCACAGAATCACCTACCCGATACGCTGGATCTAGCGGACGACTGGTGACAAGGATACGGAATGGTTTAAAATCCTGCGAACATAAGAACAAGTTACAGGCAAATAAGCTACGGTAGAAGTACAAACTGTCGTGAGCATGTATGCGTGTTTTTTTTCTTTCTATTTTCGCACCAGAGATTGAGGATGCACCAAGTCGTATTTTTGGTCAAATTTGGGTTGAGACCAAACTTTCGCTCGTTCCTCTCACCTAATGGAATTAACTTTCGTTAATTCCAAATGAAAGTGTGTACTGTATAAGCAGAAATATTCGTCTGGAATTTAATTTCGTCTTTTTCGTCCAAGGAGCTTTTGGACTAAATTAAATGTAGGACGAATATCGATTTGTCCAGCATTTCTATACACTCTTATGACCCGTGGACGAAATTTTCAACCGGACGAACTACTCTTCTTTGGAGTTGGACGAAATTATTGACCGACGAAATTTTCTGCCTCTACAGTACTTGAGCAATATGTTCGACAGTGGAGGTGTAAACTAGGATTGAGTCGGGTAGCATTTTCTTCGGGCATCGGGTTCGGATAGTTTTCCACGGGTAGCACGGGTACTCGATCGGGTAATGTTTGCATGGTAACACCACAATGCACCCCTTCCCTTACACACTGGGTAGAAATGCGGAGTATTACATGAATTTACATACATGCACTGTACTTGATGTCATCTGCGACTTCGGGTTTTCGGCTACTATTCTGTACCCGTCTACCCGAGGTCCTCACGGGTAGCACGGGTACCCGACTACTCGTGCACACCACCAGTGTAAACCAAGAAAGCAATGGTAGGAGAAAGGCCTAATCAGATGTACCAGTGGCTTCACCGATATATGTGTTGATGGTCTTCCTCCAACTACACTCGTATCGCTCTTATCCGGACCTCTACGCTATGGGCACCTCGGTCTACCGGGGACCATGTGGGCGCGGTTTAGTGGAAATATTACAACTCTTTTGCCATTTTTGGTGGTAATCGTGACATCATACCCAGATACGAGAGATATGAGTGTATATGGCACCATGGATATCTACAATGTAACTGGATCATGATGGTTCAATGTGTGAAACATAGAGCTAGAAATTGTACTACCTCCGACAAGCGAAACTTGGCGCGTTTTTTGATTTTTTGTGTTGGTACCAAAACTACTTCACAAGGCTGTGAGGTACGACCTACTTGTAGCTCCATGCAACCGGGTGCAGGAAGCCAAGCGACGACCTAGTGTCGTGAGTGGCACATGGCTCAGACTTAGTCAGAGGCATGTGTGTCTCTCGTGTACCAGCAAAACTGTGCGCGCGTCCATTCTGCGAAGGAGAATCGTCGTGCTTTCGCGTTTCAATGCAAAACCAAGGAGTTCTCTCTCTCTCCTCTTGGTCACTCCGCCAGCACAGAGTCCATGCGTCCATGCCAAACAATCCTAGTGCCTTTCAACAGCCACCAGAGCGATGCGTCTCTGGTGGCTAAGGAAAATTGCCAGGAATTGCTGCAGGCAATTTTGGACAGTTGGCGAGAATACCCTGCAAAACAGTTGGACTCCAGGCGCTTGCGGAGGTGTTGCACAGTTCTTACCACTTCAATCTGAATAGTGGCGGCGGGAACGACTACCCTCGACACCGTGGCTCGAGCACTGCACACAGGAGCGACATCGAGATTTTCAGAGCGATTGCAACAGAGGTACTGGCTGCAACTGAATCCGCTCTAGTCGCACTTTCGTCTCAAAACAGGGACAATTCCTCTCCAGAAGAAACTGCGATCTCTGAATCAGGGGAGAGTTGTTCAGCGTAACAGATGTCTCTAATGTCCTTGTTGAGCAATACAAAGTTGAATTTTGGTGAGTCAATCATTAGTTTTGATTGTAAAGTGTGAGTTATTTCGAGTAACTTGAAGTAAAAAACGCGCCAAGTTTCGCTTGTCGGAGGTAGTACAGTTTAATTAAGATCCTTCTGTTGATGTGCATAACGCTGTTCACAATACATGTAGTGCATGCACTGTATTCAGTAGTCTATGTGTTTGCCACAGCCGGCTCCAACTACTATTTACTTAAGTACAGACAGTGATGTGTATGGCGGATACCTTGCTATACGCTAGCTCCTCGTAGAGTATGTTAGCTGAAAATGCAGTGTCAAAGCCAGCCTCCGTGCGCAATACACCGTCCTCAATAGAGAATCCGTATGACTCCTTGGACGCCGCAATGTACTGACTGCATGTTGGGTAGAGACAGGCACAAGCACGTGTATATGTACACACACACACATACACATGCACACACATATACACGTACACCACACACATGCACACACGTACACACGCACGTGTAAAGCCTAGTTCACATTCGACGGGGCACGACGAGACGCAATGTAAGGATCGACGGGAAGCGACAGGACGGTCTGACGGCGTCCAATGTGAACACCAGGAACAGGAACGCAACCGTACTACCGTACAGATCGGGAAGCGACGGGAAGAGTTGGATCAGTTCAACTTGTCATACCGTAGACGGGCATAGACGAGGACGCAAGCGTACAAAACGGTTGCAACTCGAGTGTGAACAGGAGCTGGCGTCGTGCGCAGACTCCTCCCGATTCGTACTTGGAAATGTTTAGCATTTCGAACACTACGCTTCCCATGATAACTTGCAGAGTGGCTAGCACGACTTGAGTTGAATTTTAGCAAGATAAGATATCATGTCATTTCTTGTATTTAGGGATAGTTTAGGAGCGTGACAGACGAATTGTTTTATCACTTCTTGGAGCTATACACCATGCGTACACCAGTCACCTGGTCACCGTGCCCGCAGGCTGCAACTTACAGCCTGTATGGGGGCGTTCCTGTCACTTGAGTTGAACCTTTAGACCATTGAGTTGAACCTTGGTGTGAAAGTTGTAGCCTGCAGGCATGGTGACCAGGCGACTGGTGTGCGCACGAGCACGTGACCGCTTACTCAACCGTGTTCGATTGGGAATAAGGGCCGAACGCTGCATTGTAGCCTTTTCGGACCAAAACCAGTCGACTCAGGGGCCAAAAGACTACAACATATGGGCCAATCGCGGTCATCTGTGCTTTTATAAGAACGAAATGGCGCTTTTATTGACATGTTGCATACAAATCCCTATCCAGGTGGCGCGCAGTCACCCAGTTTCGGTGGAAGTGCGCGAGTTCGATTGGGAATAAAGGAGGAAGGGAGCGTCTCAGCTTCCTCCGATCAAGACCATTCGACTCAGCACCCCGAAGACTACAACTGGTGAAAATTTGATTTCAGGGTATACTTGTCCTTTTCAAAGGAAGCATGAAAATGGGGGTGCGACGTATAATGGAGGAAATACGGTGCATACATAATACAGAGTTGCACTAGTTTGCGGACAATAATAAAAGTTGCACTAGTCACAACATAAAAAATGGCCAGTACAAAGTATAGCCATAGCATCTTGGTGGCAGAAAAGGATGATGGTCGTGTCAACTTACTCTTGAAAGTAGGGCGACGGCTTCAGGATGTGCATTTCCGCAAAAGAGGTGTTCATATTGCCAGCATGTATTGTGGATGAGTGTGGAATAACCACTAGCCATCCTCTACTCTGTGCTTGCTCATACATACCGGCATGTGTACGCTGTACAGAGCGAGAGAAAGAGAAAAAAAAGAGAGAGAGAGAGAGAGAGAGAGAGAGAGAGAGAGAGAGAGAGAGAGAGAGAGAGAGAGAGAGAGAGAGAGAGAGAGAGAGAGAGAGAGAAAGGACAGAAAGAGGGACAGAGAAAGACAGAAAGCTACATTTCTAGTAGACAAGGACACTGAGGTGGACAGAAAGATGAGTGAACTTATAATACTTCGAAGTACATTGGAAAGGCGTTCTGTCTGAAGCCATTCCACACTGGTGCTCGATTTTTCAGTTTGGTGACACGAGAATGACACGAGAATTAGTGTACCGCTGAGTGTACCGCTATACACGTTGTTGACACGGTGTTGATACTTTGCTGATACGTGACCCCATCACTGGTCTGCTTTGTGCCAATGCCACTCGGCAAGAGTACATGAAAACCAGAGTGCGCAGCTTGGGGTCTTTTCTACTATGGGTGTCTGTCACGGCGGAATTCCGTGATTACATCACATTTGGCGCAGATCTGAGGCGGGAAATGGCGTAGTGCGTACAACTGAGCTGCAGTTGTGCAGAAAGACACCTGCTTCAATCCTGCTTGTACGCACTACAACACTAAAATGATGTAATCACGGAATTCCGCCGTGACAGCAACCCATCCGAGCAGCACACTCTGGTTTTCATGTACTCTTGCACTCGGTAACAGCAAATTAGGAACAGTGCTGTGGTGACGTGTGTTGGAAGATGGCGGACCCAACACCGAGCACACAGTACACGGTTTCTGCCACCGTACGCATGTAAGGGGAGGCCTTTGGAAAAATCGTGCGAACTCTTTCCAGTACCCCCGTACCGCAAAGTGCCATTGTTAATGCACAGACCTGACGGGAAGGAGAACTGCAGAAGTGGACGAAGACAAACGAGGAGGAATCACGACGAGCAATGGCAGGACTTTAAGTAATAGCTCAATTAGAAATGAGAACTTGACATTCATGGCACTTGCCACTGCATATTTCTTGTCGACTCATAATGTCTCTCCCCTGCCCCTGTGTGCCCACGGCCCTGTGGCTGCACTGGCCCGATGAATGTCTTCTTCAACTGGAACGGCCCCGTAAACACTGTCGCGTCGGCAGACTGAATGCGCAGGATGAAAACTATTGCTGCAAAGACGTCCGCTCTAGACGACGGCAAGGCATCCCTTGATATGTTGCCAGTGTGTGCCAGGGTATCGCGATGGTGAATGAGGAATGATGAAGGGTACGGTGGGACAGTAGACGTGTTATCTTCCAACACGTTATCAGGTGGAGAGCGTCTTGTACTCACGTTATCAGGTCGAGAGCGTCTTGTACTCACTCACTCTATTCCTGTACTTCATTACGTTTAAGGTGTGTGTATAACCTTCCAATATTTTAATGGTGTACAGTCGCACGGCTGGAAGCCGTGTACGATGGCCCATGGTGACCGAAGAATGATGAAGGGGACCGTCGGATGGTAGAGCTGTGCACGTAGGTAGAGCGCATGCAGGACTCACGTTTCTTTGTTGGTGCATTGCGATTTTGTGGATCGCACCTGAAAAGGAGACACAGACAAAGCAGGCCTAGTACATGGCGAGATTTCGCCAGAAGACATGCAGTCATGAACCATTAAGGCGACAGACAGAAATTGCACCTGGACGCGCAAAGACAAAGCAGGCCGCTTACATGGTGACATCTCGGGAGAAAGCAAAGCAGGCCGCGTACATGGCGAACTCGCGGGAGAAAGATTAGGCTGCTTGCATTACGACATCAAAGAAGAAAGGAAAAAGTCATGGGCCAGTCACAAAGAGGGCGAAGGCGAAGGTGCGCCCGCAAAAGCGATAACGAAAAACACGGGCAAAGGAACGGACACACATAAAAATGGCTATTCGCGAGAAAAAAAACCTGCGTGCAAAGTTGCACATATGTGACATTCTTGGCAGTGTGGACGATGTTCCGGACGCTGCATTTGGCCTCCCCATGTGGCATCCTTCCGAATGCGCTATCCCAGACAGGACTTCACCTCCACCTCTTTCACCACCACTGTACATTTCACTGCTGAAACGAAAGGAAGTCACCGAGACGTGATCCGTGACGCTATTCACGCTCGTCTTCTGGACGATGCAGAGAGGGTGGACGATGTGCTGATCGACAAGGTCTGCGGGTACTTAATTAAAGTTTCCCGTAACATAACTAGGATAGAAGTTAATCGCTGCAAAGCCATTGCCAAGTATGTGAGCACATTGGACTTGACGGGAAAGTGCACGGGTGACGTTGACAAGACATACTGCGGCGACTGTCGCCATCATGACAGCAGGGCACAACCTTATCATAGTGACTCGTGGCGCATTTGTGTGGGCAGCGATGATAGTGAAGTATTGACGCCTATAATCGTTGACGTCGGTGGCAAGGCGCACAATACTGTCCAGTCGCCAGATGGGAGAGAAGTGGCAGAGAATTCTGCGTGTGAGTGCACTAGCCCTGAACATACATGCAGGTGACCCGTTTGTGGTGTCTCATAGCCTACCTCACGACCTCCAGCTTTCTTTCTGCATCACTTGTATCTTGCAGGTATATTATATCATCCCGTGACAACCACATTGAAGTCTGAATTTGAAGTGTAAAGATGCTTCAGCAACCACATTGTACTTTTCCATTGCTTGTGCTTCTACTGTGCATGTGTGTAACTTGTGGGGCATACATGTGATGACATTAGAGAGGTTCCGCATAACGTAATTACGTTAGTAAAAACGTAGTCGATCTACAGAAAGTTTTACGTAAACTGCATGCACATCTGTGTTCCGCCATACGGAGTTTTCAAATCACGTAGCTGCCCTTGGCAACTCCGAACGCGGCAGTGTACGACCAGATTGACCCGGGGAGAAAGTTATAAATTTGTACCCCAATCCACTTACGGACCAGCTACGTTATCAGAGCCCTATCTACGTACTCTACGTAGACAACTTTCCGTAAGTGGAGTGCAAACTCGCGAATTCACGGGTTTTTCCCATCCACTAACGTAATGTTGCTCAACTTTACGTAGTGCGGAACCTCTCTATTGTATGCAGGCGACACGGTCAGATTTTGTCCATGCGCGTAACGTACACCTGCATGTTATGCATTGAAAAGGATCTGCCACTTGCGATCCTGGGACGAGTATCAGGTCAGCTTTGTCTTGTGTGGGCTGTACCAGATTGCTGTTCACTTCTCTATCTGTTGGATAGTGACTTTCTGAAAGTTTCTGGTGTATGATGGCCACTTCTTTGCTTTGTCTTTGTATGATATTGCATTCTGTATTCACTGCTTCCATGGCGTGGTCTGCAAACTACAATCCTTGGGCAAATGTCATGTTTGCTATGTTGTGCTTTGGCCGTCAGCTTGTCTACACGTTGTAGTTGAATTATTTAGTTTCACAACTGACTTCCTGAAGTACGGTGGCCACTGCTTTGCATGGCATTATACATGAAGAATTTCCTGTTTGCGGCGTGTGCATGTGCGTATGTGTGCGTGTGCATGTGCGTATGTGTGCGTGGCCACGTGCATGGGCATTCGCGTGTTTCAACTTTGTGTTTCTGTGTGCGGGGTAGCGAGGTGGGGAGGGCTGGTATGTATCAGTGTGTTATTGCAGTCTCATGGCTACATACAGTGCATCGCGTGCGTGCTCATCATGTTTACCTTCGGGGCTGGGGTGGAGAGGGAACGGAAAAAGAACTAAAATTATCCATATAAAAACCTTTACTGGTGCTGCCCCGTCGTAAAAGTAAGAAAATATAACTGGCCCATTGTCCCCCCAAATGTGAACTGATCCACCTAAATAGCGAATGACGGGACCCGAACACACCAGTAGCACGAGGCCGGGAAGGCACAGGATCACAGTAATGGGCCTGGGACGCTAATTTACTATAGTACACTCAAACGTCTCTTATCCGGACACCTCAGATACGGGCACGTCTCTCTACCGGGCACCTTCAGCTTGAGTTCGTATGGCAAAAATGCTTTGAATTTGGGGTTTTGAACTTTTTTCGTATGTGCAAGTGCTTATTTGTCACTGCCAACCTGTGAAATCCACACTTTTTTTGTCAATGGATTCTTTCTGTACCCTGAACATGTGCAATACGTGCCAAATAAACTTCTTCAAAAAATGAGATGAAACATGGTAGATGAGTTATCCTGAGATACGGGGCAGTGCCCGGTCCCAAGGTGCCCGGACAAGAGACGTCCGAGTGTACAGTACCCTGAAGCCCACCTTGGCCCAGGCTTTGAGGCAATGTTATGTGGGATGTCCAACATAGCGCAACACCACCACTTGTATCTCTACCAGTGGCTGTGTAACTACTGAAGTCTTTGTTAGTACATGTAGGTACTTACGTGGGATATCCAACATGGGAGTTCATCGGAGGCCATGGCCTATGGACCAGCGTCCCCAGCTGCATGCACCCTCGTGCTACTGCCTGGTGCGTTCGGGCCCCTTCATTCGCTATTTAGGTGGATCAGTTCACATTGGGGGGGGGGGGGGGGGGGGGGCAATGGGCCTGTTCAAATTTCTTACTTTTACAACGGGGCAGCACCAGTAAAGGTTTTTCATAACCGCTCACAGAGCGGTTATGACAATGTCCTATGGCACCTCATTTTAATACATGTACAAAAGCACCTAATTTGGGCATTGTACACACTTGAAGCCCATATTTAACAACTTGGGCCTAAATGCTCCCCCCCCCCCCTTTCTTCAGTAGTCTTCTGAATATAGCCATCTTAGGACTCCTCTTTTGGCAGAGTACCCCTGCATTCTACCTCCCCCCCCCCCCCCCCCCCCCTGTATTGAAACCTGATGAGGATCGCACTTGTTACCCTTGTTGAGCTCATCGGATTCAAGCTTAGGCTCCTCTCCTTGTATTACCAAGAGTCCATAACCCCAAAGAGTATGCAATTCTGGACATCGCGTCTGTCGCAGCGCGCTGCCCACATTATGCAGCCACGTCAGCGAACTGGAATCCACTGGGCCATGGTATCATTATTGATCAGCTCTGGTTTCCAGCTTCCAAGTCCGGTTTCTCTGAGACGTGGGATGGATTTGTACATGATGCACAAAGCACACTTAAGCACAGGCATTGCTTCTGAACCTATATTTATAGCGTACTACACGAGAATTTGTTATGCCTAAACAGTAGCAACACTCAAATCCAGTCAGCTGGATCATCAACTTATTATGTAATGAAGGTAGTGTACTACGGAGAGCACCCACAGCTCCGACATCAGAGTTGTACACTATTGGGGTTACGGAATCTTGGCATTCTTTTGAATACATGATGTCTCCACAGGTCCACTCTCGTTAGTAGGCAACCCCAGGGCTTTTAACATTATACAGCTGCTTTACATCATTAATATCGTATCCGCTCAGATATGATGCTTCCTCATTATAAGACAATGCTTTTCCCCAGACCCCTGTACAAGACAACCCGTTGTAAACAGTAAGACACTTTTTTCCGTCGGACCTTCTATACAAGACAACGTGAAACATCGATCGAGCTAACCATGGCCATTTGCTTTATCTTCTAATGAGGGAACCGAACTTGTGGGACAGTTGAAGGTGGCGTTATAACGGATTTTGTCTACAAACGAATTATCTCTTATCCGGACTTGCATGTAAGACTGCTAAATGCATTTCGTCACGGGGATTATGGATCGTTGTCTACTAATGAGGTTTGTCTTGTACTGTAAGACATGTTATTATAACGAGTCGCAAATTTAACGATTGTCCAAAATTCATAGGTTAACGAGAAGGTACGTTAACGAACTTGTAGTCTTCGTGCATACCCGCATATAACACATGTGAGTCACTACAACCTCAACAGAACCTATTAGAACGAAGAAATGCAACTCGTTAAAACGATTTACTTCCTCGTTCTATTTACATGTCTTACAGTAACCGATGTCATACTAACGAGGGTAGACCTGTATAACGGTTTTCTGCTGAGGCTGGAATGCCTCATACCGGTACATGTATGTGTTATGTGTGGATATGCCTGAAGACAGCAAGATCGTGAACGTACCTTCTCGCTAGCCTATGAATTTTGGACAATCGTAAAATTTGCGACAGTACCGATTTGTACGGCCCTTGATGGTACATTCACCTAATACCAAAGCTTCACTGCAAGTAAATCAACCCATCCACCAGGCCTACTTCATAGCCGCATAAACCACGTCTGCTGCTTTAAGCATGCCACGACAATCATAGTGTTGATACACCATGGTTTCCAGTTGTCTACATAAGGACTGCACTGTGTTTTTTTGTTTGTTTTCTGTGTGCATTTGAACGCACATGAAAGCATGAGTACAGCATGCACCACACAGCCTATTCAATACACTCTGTCCATAACGGTGCAGTTCATTTAGTAGCTCTCTAACTAAAGAAAACTCAAACTCAAACGTAAATTTCAGGAAATGGAAGTACAAGCATCCAGTGTTGAGTCTGTTGACACAAGCAAATCACTACAGTCACGCACATACCTGCAACGCCTTGTAGAAGGGATTGAAGTCCAAATCCTCGTGAGCCATGGCCAACAGAAATAAACGACACCACTACTACTTGTACGCAAGACCAGCCTAGCAGATTTCAAAACAATTGCGAAACAAATAATTTGGTGCTCTCCTGATATTGCTGACAACGGCTCGAGTCGACGCAGATCGGTGTAGATTCACTGGTACTTTGCTCAAAGACGAGTCATACGAAAACAACAGCGTACTGAAAAATTAGCTGAGTGTTACCTCCAAGCTGACGGGAGAGAAGCAACACCACGTCAATCCGAATATCGCCATTCAAGGTCAAAAGTGCGATCTTCATCCACAAAAGCTGCTGTTTGTGGCTCTCGCCAGTCTCGGCTGGCCATGCACATGTGCGTGGTTAGCCTTGTTGGCGTACAGCAGGGAGTTGTATCCCTGGCATATACAACAGATACTCGTACTGTACTGTGTATGATACTTGATACATGACTCCAGTCCAGTGGTACATGTACGTGCATGTCAGTCACGTGTCCACGGGTGTTTCGCAGCGGCCACTCGTCAAGATGGCGGCAAATCCGAGAGTACAAAAATTTCGACTCTGGCTATGTGAGCGGCGGATGCGAATCTCGCACGTGCGTGCAAAATCTAGCCTTCTGCAGATCTGGATAGAGCTAGAGCAAGTGTACGTGTGTACGTGTGGGAACGACGACTTTTTCCGAGAGAGAATGTGGCTCTTTTCATCCCAACATTTTACTCGCCACGCTCTCCCTCCCAGCTTATTGAAACGAGTGTCTGCTACCGAGTAGAAGTCTCCATCTTCACAGCAGGCCAGGCAAAATCGCAAAATCGCAACGTTGAAATACTTTGCTCACTTGGTGTTTTTGGTCCTTTGAGATGATGTGGCTGTTGTGTACAACTCGAAGTGACAAACTTGAGACCCCCGCGCCACAAAAAACTAAGGCGCGCCACAAAGTTTCGTTTGGCTATTCAATGAAAGGATGTATGGAAGCAGGGATAAAAACTATCGTGGCTGCCGGCAAAACTCTTAGGCTGTGTTTACATGAAGCGTTTCAACCCGGGTTGAGTTCGACCCGGGTCAGATTTCAACCCGCCATGTGCATAAAATGAATGGCGCGTTTACATGACGCATTGCGCTTGACCCGGGTTGATTTCAACCCTCCCCTTGGGGGGCGGGTCAAGAAAATCGTACAAACGTACTTCTGTGCGTATCTCGCGCCAGGTTTGAACAGCACTGCAGATGCAAATTTCGCGCGAACGGATTCACGTGACCATACAGGACTGTAGAAGTGGACTTTTGGCGGCATATCAGTATTTGACCCGGGTCAACTGTCTTCATGTAAACGCTCACCTCTTTTGTCTGTCGTACAGACTTTCAACCCGGGCTGAACTCGACCCGGGTTGAAACTTCTCATGTAAACACAGCCTTAGTAATGTAATAAACGGGGTTGTGACTTTGGTAATTCCAAGGAGAATGTACGCACGGTCATTCCACAACGAAGACGAAACTACGAGCTCAAAAACACTCCGATTTTCAAACAAACGACGCAGGAAAGAAGACATGGCCGTAGTGTTCCCGTGTGGTCTTCAAAACACCTAATTTTACTTCGATAGCGGCTGGTTCAGGGCAAATTCAGGCCCAATTCGACAGCGTCGTACCGCTCAGATTCGCCCAAAACACGAGGAAATGTACGGTAGATCCAAATGCGTACGCATTTTGCGTACGGGGACGACTGGCCAGAGTTCATTTTTTTTTTTTTTTTTTTTTTTTTTTTTGCATGATCTGAAATGTAGTCTTTGGCACCTATATACTATGATCAGGGGATGGCCCACGCCTGGTAAAAAAACAAAAAAACAAAAAAAAACAATGAGAAGTTGCGTACAAATCGTGTACAGACTAAACAGACTTTGGATTCGAACATAACAGAGTGGAAAACCGGAATCCGAGAAAACGATAACATGCAAAATCATGAAAAAGTGGGGGGGGGGGGGGGGTACTGAAGCAGAACAGCCAAACACACCACGGATAGTTACCGAAAGCACTCTGCAGCAGCAAGGACCACAGAAGCATCAGAGTTCATGCACTGCAAACACCCGTGGTGTCGTCACTGACTCGTGATCGTCAGAGTCGTCACGTCAGCTCAGTCGTTCTGCTGCGCGTTTTCTCTCTCGTCTGGACGGCAGATTCACTGAAGAATCAAAATTTCAAATGAAGCTTTTCCGTGACTGTAATTTCAGGTGGGTAGATGGGTTGAACTATTACTTGAAGTAACTACACTACAATTAGTAAATACATGTACTAAAATAGACTACATGTAGTACTACAGTAACTTACTTTAGACTTAGACTAGAGTACTTACTACTAGTAATACTAATGACAGAGACAACTGAAAACCTCAACGTTTTGTGTACATAATTGTGCTGGGCGCTACCGGTATAATACCGGTACAAGTATCCCGACATTGGACTGTATACTGTAGGCTGCAGTATACATGGTATAGGCTAGCCATGACTCTTTGAAACCTGTTCTGTTTCACTCAGACTTTCAGTACTTTCAGCCAAGGAACACCATACAAAAAGAACTACATGTGTAACAGTCATACCGCGCCGGACAGGTAGCGGACACGATCGACGGAGCTAGCACGCTGCACGGTCTGGGCTGGGGCTCTGGGCGTTCTTCTCTACTGCACGGAGCTGAGCGCTGAGTCTCTTCGTTTTGTTGCGGCTACCGACCTCGTGCAGCCCATGGCGCTAGCTTGACTTGAGTTGAGAGATGTGTGACCCTGGCATGGGCCTGGCGGATGGCTCACGAGCCCAGGCAGGGGCAGACGTGACTGGCAGTTTGATGCGCGATTTCTGGCCTGTCAAGTCGTCACAGACTCACACAACTCCAGCTCGTGCATGCTGATGAAGAACTGTTCGATCTGTGCGTGCGTGACCGATTCGGCGATTGTTTCGTTTACGATAAAATATCGGCGTGTAGAAAAAACAGGGAAGTGCGCAGTGTGGGAGCTCAAGTCAAGGGGGGTTTGTAGCAGTAGGCCCTGTCCCCTTTCGTTGCCGACGAGTACTGAGTTCGTGCAGTTGAGTTGAACTAACTGAATGATCTTCATTGATGTTTGTTGTAGAATGCTAGATGATGCAGGCCATGCTGTTCACGCACCACTAGTAGTACTGCTGTGGTACTGATTCCTCTGATTAGTGTAGAGTGTAGCCTTCAGTCCACCCTTGCCTTGGGAGACTGGATGAATTACTGAATCACTTACTTCACTTCCAGCTTGTGAAGCTGTGGTGTGCGGGGGGAGTGGGGATAGGTAGCGCTGCAGTTGTTGACCATTATTGTCGCTAGGACACGAAGATGCGCACTTCATCGCAAGTACCTTCACCGATAGCACGCTACCTGTCTATGCAACGACGTAGCGTCCGACGTCTGAGCTGACCTGCTGTGAAGGTAATACCAGTGGTCGTATTATTTTTTTACTTCGCCTGTCGCCTCAACGACCAAACACAGCGAACGACTGCCAGTCACCAAGCACTGTCTGCAAACGGGGCAGCGTGCCTTTGCTTGTTTTCAGGACGTTCAGTGAGCTATCGTGACGTACTTGTACGCCTAGCGTGTGCTTGTGTTCATGCATCGTCGTTCTCCCTCTCGAGTGGCTGGTCGGGAGAGGCTCGTCTGAGATTTCGTCCGTGACAAGTGCCAGTGTTACTAGCGCAGCAGTGGAAAGTACTGATTTTTGTTCTCTCTGTTTCACCGCCACGCGTCCTGTCTTTACTGGATGAAATCTACACCGAACGCGTGCAGCTGCGGGCCCGTGTTGTCTTGTTGCCGTTGTCCTTTGCTGCTTCGCTAGCTGTTCTATTGCATCTGTACCTGACTGGCTCTTGCCGAGCCCGCTGGAAAGATGTTGGGCAGAGGCGGTGGTGATATTTGCGCGGACTGCAGCGCCCCAGGTAAGCCCTGAGAGCAGCGTGCTGTTGTGTTTTATTTTGTAGCGAGCGCTGCACATGTAGCCATTGAGCTGCTGTCAAGAGTACTTCGGTGCTGCAAATGTATTCACCTACTGCGAAGTGGAGGTGGCTGTTGCTGCTGCTGCCCTTGTCGTTGCATCAGATTACGACGTAAATTAGTTGGGGCGCAAAGCTCCTAAATGTGCACAGAAAATTCCCTCCGAACTCGCCACATCCGACTGGATGCAGCGTTCCGCAGGATGTTTTTTGCATACACGTACGTGCACTAGCACTGTAGCCCCGATCGCTGGGTCACTCGAGTTCTTTCAAAACTTAGTTTCAATCTGTATTTTGTCAAAATAGATTGTGACACGGTAATACACCCATGCACGCTTTCGTGACCAGTATGGTCATGCCAAAAATCAAGATCTTCGTGACATGGTCCAACCGCTAGAGTGGTACATTCACAGAGAATTTCTACCGGTTGTTTTCAGAGAACTAACGTTAGCGCAGGTCAACTAAGGGAACTACATGCACTTGACTTTTGCTGGTGTACTGCTCGCTCGATCTAGCGGGTAGAAGACCAACAGCAGTCATTTCAACATAGTCTGGCATTTGATAAGCAGAGGCCAAAGCCGGTTGCATGAGAGTCAAGAGGAAATCTCCAGCAGATTATGATCTTGGTCAGTTGTTTTGCATGTTTATACATACCATGGAAGTAACAAAAAAAGTTGATTTGCAATAATTATGTAAAAAATTGCAACAGATGTTTCTTGGTGCTGCATAGTTTGTACCCGTACATGGTGGCCTAAGGGGCCGTCGCAAAAGAGTGCTGTCGTCCCTGAAACGAACATCGCTGATTTCGTACTCGGACCCCCTCCCTCTGAAACGAACGCAGCGTGCTATGCTGGACGACGAAATCGCATGCATGTGCGTGTACAGTGTCGGTCGACTAGCGATTTTGGCTCGCGCAGTCCCCCCCCCCCCCCCCCAACGAATTGTGTTCATTTCAGGGATGACAAAAAAACGTTTGCAGCGACCCCTAGCTAGTATGGTGTATCCCCATAGACCAGAAACCATAGCATGTCCCAAACTCAGAAACCATAGCATGTCCCAAACTCGATAAAAACATTCGGTCAAAAATAATGTGGCAGAAATGCGGTGGTGCAAATTCACAGATAAATCCCCCTGGACGTTGAACGTTTGGTAGACCTATATGGCAGCGTGTTGTTTCCAGCATCGTTTTATCTGCGGTGAAATCATGCCGCCGAACATTACATTTTACAGCACACACCTCTGATATCTAGGCAGTGCGGGTCACATGCTCACCGTGAATGAAGCAGAGGTTCTCCGGCATGATAGTCCAGTGCCAGGCATGGGAGGATCAACAATCAGTTCACGTCATTGAAGAACAGCAGGTTGTGTGTGTTCGAAGGTGACATTCTTCAATACAAGAATATTGTGTTGTATATATAGAAGCCTTGCTTGATAGATTAATATGTTTTCGATTTCGACAGCATGTTACAAGGCGAGTGCTCTGCCAACCGGGTTATGGTTGTAGTCAGGAGGACTGCATGCGTCCTCGCCTTGTAACATGCTGTCGAAATCGAAAACATGTTTTAAAGAACATGTGTTGTACGTTTGTTTGGCTTACAATCTAAAAGTACAGAGCGTAAGTGCATGCATAACAAGAGTGGCACAGTGCGTTCATATGTTCACGGCGTGTGCAATGATCCTGGAGGGACCCGTGGAAAATGTAGAAGTAGTAGACTTGTATAGTCTAGACTGAAGCAGTTATTACGAAGAAGAGGTTATAGCCAGTTCGGCAATATTTGCAGAATCAAGTTGCATGTCATTGCAGTCAAGATGTGCAGAAACTAGGACGGAACTATAAGAAAGTTTTCGTTCATGCACTGAGTTTAAATTTGTTCCCTTTGACGGCCCGTGTAAGGCCAATGCTGTAGCCATTGTGCCAACCTCGCGTGACACGCTTGCTTGAGTCAAGTTGAGTGTACCACCAACAATGTCCTTCCGATATTCCTCCGTAGACTTGACGTTCATCATTCTTGGACCTCCAAATCAGTACGCCTTCATTTCTAGTCACTCACACAGACTGCGGCTCTGTTGAATATTACTATTCAGTGTCCGTATTTTCCAGCCAACGTTTGGGTTCGGCTGCATGTCTGTAACGGCTAAAGATGCAGCTGGTGCTACTCATACTGCTGTTGCTGTAGCTGATGATGATGCTGCTGCTGCTGCTGCTGCTGCTGCGGTTGATGCTGTTGTTGCTCATACTGCTTCTCGTACTGTTGTTGCTGCTGCGGCTGCTATGGTTGCTGTTGGTCTCAACACTCTTGTCGGTGTTTTTGGCTATTGTTGTGTTGTGCTCTCGTTGCTGTATGCCTGTAGGTCCGCAATGGGCATCTCTGAACCGTGGTATTGTGATATGCGACGACTGCTGCAGCGTCCACCGCAGCCTTGGCCGGCACATCAGCCAAGTGCGTCCCATACAGAGCAGCATGATGTACTGGCCACCGTCGTTGCAGGAGGTATGAAATACTGATGATCATTGTAGTCTGACAAGCACACACATGAGAAAATGGGTCGCTCGCAGCAGGGGAGGGGGTATGTGCTTCCTCCTGTTGACTTGACTTATACTATGGAGTTTCTCTTACTCAATGACTACATGTATGGATGCCATTCAGTGACTTGAAATCAGCATAAAAGACACTAGGTCCAATGTAGGTAGCAACCAACTTCTGTGTACTATCCCTGAAGTTGCTACCATGACTTCCAGCAGGCACCCATTGTCGCAGTGAGTATAGCGTTACCATGTATTAGCGTATACTATGTTAGTCTGAGTCTCAGCACTACACCGTGTTCATGCACACTGTCGTCTTTGGCTGCTGCTGCTGCTGCTGTGGTTGTGATTGTAGAGCGCTGCTGCAGCTTCAGTGGCTGTGGAGTGCTGCTGCAGTTGATGTTGCAGCTGCTGCTCTGTATGTGGCTGATGTTGTTGCTGCTGCGGCAGTTGTGGCTGATGCGGTGGCTGATGCTGCTCCGTATGTCGCTGTTGCTACGGCTGCGGCTAGTGCTGCTGCTGAACCTACTGCTACTGTGGCGGTTGCTGTTGGTGTTGTTACGTTTTTCCAGGTCCTTTTTTACTGCTACTCCGAGTTTCGTGTTAAAATGCACTCATCAGTTGTGTGATGACTTGGTAGTGCCACTCGGTGGTGTCATTGCTGTGCGACACGGTTACTGATCGCAGTGCCTCTGTGCATTCTCCCATTTGTCTTCCCATCTAGATGTTTGAGAACTTGGTAAGCAAGGGAGCTAATTCAATATGGGAGCATTCGCTGAAGGATTCGCGCGTCGGCACGCGCAAGCCGAACCCCAAAGACAAAATCGAGTAAGTTGCCACTGTGCTCGTTGTGCATGATCAAGTCCTGTACAGTGTTGCTCAATGAAATCCAGTCCGGCGCATCACTCAAGCTTGCGCCGTGCACTATTTTCCAGCCCAGTGTTCTGTGGTCTAGGGCTACGCAACGCCCAGCGCGTACTTGAGTGACGCCGCGGACTAGATTTCATTGGTAACACCTGGTTTAAAAGCGGCACAAGCTATGGGACCTGCCAGCCTAGCACGGTCTTTAAACGTAGGTGGTCTCTGAAATGAGGGGGACCCTTGCACATTCTACACATTTGATCCAGAGGAATCGATGAGTGGTCTTACATACCAGGCGGTTGCTGAAACCAGGTTGTCCCTTTACCAGGTTTTACCTATTGTGCATAATAATATGGAACACCATAGTGCACTATCTGCAGTATGCCACTAGTGGGTGCATGGCTTATTTGCTGTGGTATTGATGTGTGTGTGTGTGTGTGTGTGCATGTGTGTGTGTTTGTGTGCGTGTGTGCGTGTGTGTGTGAGAGTGTGTGTGTGTGTGTGTCTGTGTGTGTGTGTGTGTGTTTATGTTTGTTTCTTCAGTCGCGTGAAGAGCAAGTTCATCCAGGCGAAGCATAGCAAGCTGGCGTTCATGAATCGACCACCGGTCAAGGACAGCGACGAGAATGCAATACTGGACTTGAGCTATGTAAGAAACTGGCGACGGTCCCGCTGTGACCCTGTGATTGTGCCAGTATATGTGGCAGTGTGGCAGGCCTCCTGTCACTGTTTGGGTTGCAATGAGGCCGAGACCCTATGGTTGGTCAAGCTGCCCCTGCCTCTCCCCACTCCTGCCATTCCATATGTCTCATCGCTGCCTTGCTGCTTTGTGCCGTCAAATGGTGTGTGTGTGTGTGTTTTTTTGTAAAAAAAACTGGCAGTACTGCTGTTGCAATGCTGTATGCTAACTGTTATGACGCATTGACGGCTTTTTGGTCCCGTTTTCACGGAGACATTTTACCGTGCTTGAAAAGTAGTTGCTTTTAGGCCCACGGTCACACTGAAACGTCGAATTTGAAAATGTTTTCCAAAACGACACTGAAAAGGAAAATGCACCATGCAGCCCGCCACCCCTAACCTCTCAGTGAGCGTGTGGGAGTTAGCGAGCACTAATGCCATAGCCACACGTGCGCACCATGGCGGCTGGTATTGCTTATACCGGTACCTAAGTGTGAAGGAACATGTGGGCGTGCCACACCTAGACGTTACGTTGCGCAAATGCCAGCTGGTGGTTGCTGTTAGGAATGTTGCATGTTGACTAGAGCAAGGAGAACACCGATGTGTGCATGCATTATCTTTCCATCTGTGTACGAATGTACAGCAACTGCACGTGTGTGTGTGTGTGTGTGTGTGTGTGTTGTCGCCGTGCGACTACCCTGATCTAATAATACTCATGCCAGTTGCACTACAAACAATCCACTCATGACATCTTGCTCTAAAAGGCGAGCTGCCTGCAAACTTGGATTCACACAAGAGCCATAAGAACACGAGGTCAATCTTGGTGATCAGAAAAAGAGAGAAGCTGATTAGGAACGCGCATGCCTAATTTATACGGGCCAAGATCGCGCATGCCTAATATGCGCGCGTACCATACTGCGCATGCCTATAGCCATTCAGAATATGGAAGGAGCGCGGCAAGGTCAGAAAAAGTAGGCTCTAGCACTACAAATTTATGTCTAAGTGATAATTATGGAAATTACGATCGCGTTCGCGACATGTGTGGTGTGCCTGCCTGCCTGCCTGCCTGTGTGTGTGTGCGTGCATGCGTGTGTGTGTGTGTGTGTGTGTGTGTGTGTGTGTGCGTGCTTGCGTGCATGCGTGTGTGTGTTATCCTTCTGTCCATCTACCATACTGTGCAGCAACTGCATGCGTCGGTTAGAGGGAATAACCTGGAGACGGTGCTGAGGTTTCTGGCGCTGGGAGCTAAGCCAAACTTCCAACACCCGGTAAGGAAGTACATGTATCGGAATGCTAGCCAACCTTGAGTTCATTGCCTTTTTCCATGATATCCGTGTCTCATTACTATAGTACCTTACTACGAGTATTGTGTTGTTCACTGTTGCCAGCAATGTGCATGCTCTGACCTGATCTTCAAAAACGTAATGCTGAAAATTGAATTTGTTGACTGGGAATGATTGTTTGTGTGCCACTGGTGGTGGTAGTGGTGGTGGTGGTGGTGGTGGTGCTGATGCTCCCACTGCGACCGCTACCTCCACGGTTGCCACCACGGTTGCCACTGATGGGGTAGCAGTTACTAGTAGTAGAGCTCATAAGCGTGTCGTGCATCTTTTTTCTCCATGCTTTTAATTAAAATGGCTGTGTGTACTTGTATGTGCATGTGTATATGTATGTTTTGTGTATATGTATGTTTGTTTGTATGCTTGTGTATGCCTGTATTATGTGATCGTTGTGCACGTGCTTGCGCTTGTGCGGCACCTTGTCTTGTCCATGCACGTATAGGAGCGAGGGAACATGCCACTACACGTGGCAGCATCGGCTGGTCAGCAGCTGCAGTGCGAATTGCTGGTCGTGTATGGTGCTAACCCGTGCGCCCTGGATAGCCGAGGGCACACACCCGTGGAATGTGCAAGGTGAGTGCTAGGCCCCTGGCAGTGTAGGAAACCAGCTGTGCTGTTGCCGTCTTCGAACCATGTGTGCTAGGACTCGTGCACTTGCGCGTGTGTGTGTGTGTGGGGGGGGGGGGGGGTGCATGTGTTTGTGTGTGTATCATGTGTATGTGCGTGTGTACAGTACAGTACAGTGTGTGTTTGTGTGAAGGTGTTTGTGTGTGTGTGTGTGTGTTTATATGTGTGCGTGCATGCGCGTGTGTGTGGGGATGTGGGCGTGTGTACGCTCGTATGCGTCTGTGGCTGTGGGGTGGGGGGAGGAAATAGTGAGGTTCTGCCACACGGTAAAACGTGCCAAAGTACGTATGGAAACTTCGCTGCGGTACGGGATCAAGTTTCATACGGATTTTTTCATACCGTTTTCCGTGTGAAGAGCGCTTCACACGGACTGGACTCCGTGTGAAAACTGAGCGTACAGAGTACATGTGGCGGGGTGTTCGTGCATGCTACGAGCATGCTACGTACAGCAGAACCGGTGCAACGTACGGAAAATCCGTGTCAAACTTCACTGAAGTTGATACAGAGTTTGGTACGTAGGTCCGTGTAGCAGAACCTCTCTATTCATTGTTCTGCACACACTGTATAAACGTACTGTACTTTATGTGTAGACACTCCAACGCGTGTCTTGCTATGAAAGTAGGATCCGTGGGGCAGAACTCATCTTCTTTGGGTGCATTTCTTATCGACCAAACACTTGCTGAACTCTGATTGGCCGAGGGCAGTTGACCAATCATTTCAGGTGTGAAGTTCGGAGCCAGACTGATAGGCTTATAGTAATCATGCTAGGAGGGATGGTGGTTGGGGTTTGGGGAGGCCAGACATTTTCATTTTCATTTTCTTACCACCCAAACGTTTGCTGAACTCCGATTGGCCGAGGGCAGTACAGCCTAGTCTGGCTGTGAACCAAGAGTCGACCCTAGCAACGGGGCCCCTGGTATTGCCCAGAGCAAGCTGTCGCCCCGACCCGCATCGCAGGTTGCCACGGCAGATTTGTAGTCGAATAAGTTGTTATGCAGTAGTATGTCTGGGTGAGGCTGGGGCGATTGATCTCCTGTGCCAAATGACCTCTTATTGTGTTGGTTACCTAACCAAGCTTTTACTATCTATTTTATTTGGAAGAATTTGTAGCCTGGGAGACCGTTTTTGGGGTAGTGGTGTATAACTGTGTGAAACATGAAGTGGCTACAGTGGAGCCTGCACGCCCTGAGGAAAGTTTCTACCATACAAGCAATTCAATGTGCTTTGTGCGGCGGTGTTGTTTACGATCTCTTTTCCGAGTGCAGAATCGCTGGCTATCATGAAACGGCGGATCGGCTAATCGAATGTCAGTATGAGCTGACGGATCGTCTGGCATCGTATGTGTGTGGACGTCGCCCGGTCCACGTGTCAGGAGAGCATCATATTCTTCCAGCGCTGCCGGGAAGGTGTGTGTGTGTGTGTGTGTGCGTGTGTTTGTGTGTGTGTGTGTGTGTGTGCGTGTGTGCGTGTGTGTATGTGTGTGTGTATGTGTGTGTTTGTCTTTTGTGCGGTTGTTCTAGCACTCCTTGCTAGTGGTAGTGTGTACATTTTGCCAGGTCAAGTCAGATGAAGATGATAGCCCGAGATATTCCCCAAACCGGTGTCAAGTCTGTGTTTGTGTGTGTGTGTGTGTGTGTGTGTGTGTTTGTGTGTGTGTGTGTGTTTGTCTGTGTGTGTACATGTATGTGCGTTCGTCTGTGTGGGTGGGTGTTCTCATGTGTGGGTTCTGTGTGCCCGATTGTTTTGTTTCGGCGTGATATTTGTGCAGTACGGATGTGTCAGAACACGCTATCGAAGCACGCTATCGACTGCGCAATGTAAGCTATAATATACCTTATGCTTCTTGTAGTTGTCCTTATGTTTCTAGCGTGGCTGATGAGCCAGCTGTCATTGGCATGGCTTGTAGAGCACTTACCATATTTTACTGGTTGTATCGACCCCAGTTGTAAGTCGACCCCCGTACTCATCGCCTCGGTTTCCTGATTTACTAGGTGTAGTAAAACCATTGTTGTAAGTCGGCTACCTCCTCCCCCCCCCCCCTGTTTTTTAGTTTGAGGTTTGGATCGTAGAGGGCCGATTTAACACCGGTATAATACGGTATCAGTAGATTGGCCCTCTGCCCGTCCCATGGTATTGTCATCATTGGGGCTTACTGACCGTGCATTAGGGCGCGTTCAGACTACCGTGAATCCCGTCAAACACAGTAAAACGTTTCCGCCGGTAACGTGCCAGTATTGTCACATGATCAAATCACCTTGGAAACTTTCCCAATCGGTCACTTGTTATCAGTAGCCTGAACGCGCCCTTACAGTACTTGTGTAGTTTCTACTCTGTTGTGCCATCCGATATTGGAATAATTATGTAATTGAAAGACTTCACTCTGTGTCGGTTCTTGTTCATCAGTTTGAAAACGTTGAGCATGCATGTGTTTGGGCATTTTCCGTTACAGTTGTCGAATTCTTTCTTTGAAGAGCTGGCAGCGGACGTGTATGATGAAGTGGACCGCCGAGAAACAGAGCAAGGTAGGGTGTAAAACTGGGGTAGCTGCCGGGTACTCTATCTACATTGTATACGTGTGACTGGTACTCCAATATTCGGGGGGGCATTTTACCCAGGATAGGTACCATATTCCCAGGGCAGGGTACATTTTACCCAGGATAGGTACGATATTCCCAGGGCAGGGTACATTTTACCCAGGATAGGTGCAATATCCCAAGGGCGGTACACAACTGCCCAGTATAACGTTAGGTAGTACTATTCCCAGGGGGAGTTGTAATAGGGGAGGTGCCATATTCCCAGGGTAGGTACATTTTACCCAGGGTAGGTACAATATTCCCAAGGGAGGTATGATGTTCCCAAGGGAGATATGATATTCCCAAGGGAGGCACAAAAGTGCCCTTGATAGGTACAATATTCCCAGGGGTTGTGCACTCTTTCCAGTGGAGATTTCCATGTTCCCAGGGAGAGGAAGCTGAGATATCATGTGCAGGAAGTTAACCCATTTGCTAGCAGCTGCGGTTCTTCCGAAGGTTCAGTGTGAAGCCTGCCACGTGTCACACACCCCGCGAGTGCTGTTGTGGAGGCGTGCAAGGGCAACCAAATTTGCATACATCTAGCTACACGAGAAGACAGGATAGACGAATAAGCACAACGAATGAACATTCGTGCAAATAGACATTTTAGCTCTCAACTAACAGACTATGACAGCCACACTAGTTCAATTTAGAAAGGAAAAGAACATAATGGATACGAGTTAAGAGTAACTCTCCATCACTGTAACCAGATACTATAATTATACAGTCAGAAAGTGCAACAACTAGGCACAAAACTGACCGTGACTGAGCCATTCGACGTCCTGTCCGTTTCCTTTCTACATTTATTATTGGCTCAACATCCGAGTTTCAAACTATTTCAATTGTTTTTTTTCTTTTGCTCTTCCTGGTGTTCTACTGTTTCTTGTTTGCAGTATGGCTGGAAACGCATCAGTCAGTTGTCATGGGAACTGGACAAGTGTCCATTCCCTTCTTGCCGTTCAATTCATCGTACTCAGCAACTCGCTTTCAGGTACACATTGGCTAGGTATACTAGTCTTTGCACATTGCACTTGTGTTACCACGGTGTGCGCGGGTGTGCATATGTGTGTGTGTGTGGGGGGGGGGGGGGGGGGGTGGATGTGTGTGTGTGTGTGTGGGGGGGGGGGGGGGGGGCTGTGGGAGTTGAATGTGTGTGATTGTGTGTGTGTGTGTGGGGGGGGGGGGGGGGGGGGCTGTGGGAGTTGAATGTGTGTGAATGTGTGTGATTGTGTGTGTGTGGGGGGGGGGGGGGGGGCTGTGGGAGTTGAATGTGTCCTGAAGTGCAACTACTAGTAGGTGGCTAGGAGTGGCAGGAGCATGAAGTTTTGAAATGGACTGTAGGAGTGGCAGGAGCATGAAGTTTTGAAATGGACTGTAGGAGTGGCAGGAGCATGAAGTTTTGAAATGGACTGTAGGAGTGGCAGGAGCATGAAGTTTTGAAATGGACTGTAGGAGTGGCAGGAGCATGAAGTTTTGAAATGGACTGTAGGAGTGGCAGGAGCATGAAGTTTTGAAATGGACTGTAGGAGTGGCAGGAGCATGAAGTTTTGAAATGGACTGTAGGAGTGGCAGGAGCATGAAGTTTTGAAATGGACTGTAGGAGTGGCAGGAGCATGAAGTTTTGAAATGGACTGTAGGAGTGGCAGGAGCATGAAGTTTTGAAATGGACTGTAGGAGTGGCAGGAGTATGAAGTTTTGAAATGGACTGTAGGAGTGGCAGGAGCATGAAGTTTTGAAATGGACTGTAGGAGTGGCAGGAGCATGAAGTTTTGAAATGGACTGTAGGAGTGGCAGGAGCATGAAGTTTTGAAATGGACTGTAGGAGTGGCAGGAGTATGAAGTTTTGAAATGGACTGTAGGAGTGGCAGGAGCATGAAGTTTTGAAATGGACTGTAGGAGTGGCAGGAGTATGAAGTTTTGAAATGGACTGTAGGAGTGGCAGGAGTATGAAGTTTTGAAATGGACTGTAGGAGTGGCAGGAGTATGAAGTTTTGAAATGGACTGTAGGAGTGGCAGGAGTATGAAGTTTTGAAAATAGACCCCTCTGCTATTCTCAGTACTCTGGTTTTCTATGTTTGTTGATGACTTTGTAGAGCAGTGTGCCGGGGTGTCCCATGATTCCTGCACGCTGTGCGTCTACGCTTGTCTCCTGGGTGTAATTCTGCACTGTGATCTGTGTGTTCTGTGCTTGACGTGTGGTGTGTTCTCAGGGTCGTCAAAAGCTCGCCACATTCAACTCCCGTGACTTTGCCACTCTGATCATTGATATTCTGACCGACGCTAAGCGAAGACAGATGGAGAGCATGGAGAAAAGTAGGGCTGCATGATATGCTGGGCAGTGGAGCAGTTGAGCTGTGTCACATGTTATGTCATGTGATCATGTTTGAATGGGAACTGTACATAGCACATGGGCACTGGAACCAACATGGCCGACATCATGTGACCCATTTAACCAGGGATTGACAGGAGTTGGAACCAACATGGCCGACATCATGTGACCCCTTTAACCAGGGATTGACTGGGGTTGGAACAAACATGGCCGACATGTGACCCTTTTAACCAGGGTTGACTGGAGTTGGAACCAACATGGATGGCATCATGTGACCCATTTACCCAGGGTTGACTGGAGTTAGAAGCACTGGAGTGGGATATGTAGGCAGTGGGTATCATAATGTCTATTATCAAGAGTACATAACCCGCTGGCACAAGAGTGTGCAACTGCCTGCACAACCTCTATGCAGTACTGCGATGGCAGAACTTCACTTCACGTGACATAGTTCAAAAGGTTACGGTGGCAAACGGTGCACAATGACCACGAGAGAGTTGAACCCAAAGCAGGGCTGCATCTATTATGCACAGGGTGCAAGGACTGTGTACGGATTCGGCACGTGATGTGAAGTTCTGCCGTCACAGACCCCATAGCTGGAGCTGCACACTCTTGGGGGTTATGTATTCGTACTCTATTGGTATTATGCCGGCCGGCTATATGGTTTCATCACTCCTGTCGCGGTGGTGGTTGTGACAACACATGCTGTGTCTTCTAACGCTATGTTGTACGCCATGCCAATATCACAGGTACCGTCGAGGGCAACCTTGTACCGATCGACGGCCTGGAAGTCATCCAACAGCAGCACCTCGAGGAGATGAGAGAAATGCAACGGCAGCACGAGAAGGAAGCGGCAGCATCAACCGATGGAGCAGGAATGGATCCAGCGAATAGAAATGATCACAATGAAGTCGATGGTCCCAGTGATGGTGGTGAAACGCCCATGAATTCAAAATCGCCGCCGGTACGTCAGCAAGTATGCACACGTTTAGGGATTTAAAAAATACGGGAATGATGAAAGGTGGCGACTGGACCACAGCTTCCATGTAGTGATAGATCATCGTTGGCCATAAGTAAGCCCTGATTTGAGTCCTGGTGGAGAAACACAATTTTTATTCAGACTTTTCTATTTTCAACTCCCTCAACCTTATGATCATGGCCAAATGAACTTGTGATTATCGAAGTACATGAATATTGCAACTGGGGCCATGTCGGTTTTGGCAGTTGTGTGCATGTGTGTGTGTGTGGGGGGGGGGGGGGGGGGGGAGGGGGGGGTGCATGCGTTTGTGCGTGCACGTGTGTGTGTGTGTGGGTGTGTGTGTGTGGGTGTGTGTGTGGGTGTGTGTGTGTGTGTGTATCTTGTTCGCTATCGTTGCTATGAGAGAAAATCTGTGGATGCACATCCAGTGCATTTGCAGATTTGCGTGCTTCTCTTGCGATGGGCGTATACATGGTACATGGTGTGTGTGTGTATGTGTGTGTGTGCTCAATGGTGGTGTGATCATTAATTATGTGTGACTGTGACGTTATGTGTGTGTGTGTGTGTGTGTGTGTGTGTGAATGTGTGTGTGTGTGTGTGTGTGTGCATACACTGTGATGCTGAACTGTATTAGGGGCATGATATCTATGATCAAGTGCAACATGACTATGATGAGGTGTCTTTTGAGGCTGGAAAGATCAAGTTTTCGTCTGTAGAAAAACAGGTATGGCCACTTTAACCAGTAGAGTTCCCCTCCCCCCTCCTCCCCTCTCCCCTTTCTTTCTCTTTCTCTCTCTTTCTCTCTCCTTCTCCCTTTCCCTCTTTCTCCCTCTTTTCCTCTCTCCCTATCCCCCCTCCCTTTGCCCTCCCCTCCCCCCCCCCCCCCCTCTCTGTCTCTCTCTCTCTTTCTCTCTCTCTCTCTCTCTCTCTCTCTCTCTCTCTCTCTCTCTCTCTCTCTCTCTCTCTCTCTCTCTCTCTCTCTCTCTCTCTCTCTCTCTCTCTCTCTCTCTCTCTCTCTCCTCTCCCTCTTCTTCTTCTGTTTCTTCTGTCTTCCTCTACCTGTCCCTTACATTCCTTCTCCTTCCCTCGCCCCTCCTTCTTCTTCTTCTCCGTCTCCCTCTCCGTCTCCCTCTCTCCCTCTCCCGGTCTATATATACGAAGAGGATGCAACTCTTTACACTTTACCTCCATGGGATGGTCGAGGGGCAGTTGCACAGTGAATATCATACCCCATCATATTTGCCCAGGGAACGCAGACTTCCGATTTTGCAGAATATGCCTCCTTCTATGCAGTGATAATGTGCTGAGGAGGCAAAATTGGGTCAGGGGTTTGAAACCGGCAAAGGGGAGAACATGAGGCTTGGACCTCCAATAGCCTGTCTAACGCAATGGGCTCTCACAGTAATACACCACTACCCCCAAAACGGTCTCTTGGCTACATACTCTTCCAAAAATAAAAAATTTAAATAACTAATTTCAAATCAAAATCAAAATTTTTGGGCCAGGCCCATCTTCAGGAATAAAAGTCAAGAACTAAGATTACTTGTATCGCTGGCTACAAGCGAGGGTCCCTGGTTCGAGTCCTGGTGGTGACAGTCAATTTTTTCTTCAGACATTTCCCGTTTGTCTCTTTCCGTCAGGCGAAATAGCACGTCATCGTACATTTGAGATCAGCGGGAAGAAGATGACGACGTCCACTAATTTAGTATCTGTGCACACGAATCTGCTGTGTGTGTGACTCTGTGTGTCAGCTATGATATCATCTTCTGTGGTTCCATGGCTAGCATGTACGTCTGAATCATCCTGCAAAGTTTGAATGACGTAGGTTGAGCGATCGCTCCGCGAAATATACTTTTTGAAATTCTCTTCATAGTATATCTTCCACCATTGAAATTTCGAATTTCTTCAAAAAAAGTGCTGAGAGGGGTGGCTTGCAACCTCGATGTGGCTTGTTCCAGGCATGCTTTGGAGCCATCTTCTGTTGAAGTAGTGGCGGGGATCTGCCCTGCAACTGCTACAACAAAAAATGATTCGATCTGAGAAAGGGTGAGACCGCGAATCTCGGTTGAATATTGAGTATTTCAAGCCTTTTCACGACGAAGATGGAGTTCTTTTTGGAGATGGACGTCGCGGCAAAGGACATGGTGTCCGACGTCTGGCGTCTGGTGAAGCCAGGGATCATTTGTCCAGTCATGTCGGCAGCCTAACCGTCGGTAAGCTTGTGTTTGGATCCCGTTCTGCTCGATGTGGTAGATCACAAACAATTTGATATCGCACAAATTGATCTCAGCATCGTGCGTACGGTATTTTATATTCAGAAAAGCCCAAAGTGTCTCTGTGTGGCCGTCCTATGCCACGAGAAACTCCAATCAGGCTCCTATGTCCTCTGCCTTCATGATTGAATGTCCACTTCGTTTGAACAACGAACACAACAATCGAGGACGGCTTTGCAATGAAAAATACAGCTGTACTGGAGCTGAAAAAAAGAAGAAAAAAACGTGCTCAGGATGAGACTCGAGTACACGCATACTCTCCCAGCAGGTGAAACGCAAATTTTTGTGAAAAATGCGTGACGCCGACTGACCAGTAATTTCGCCTGACGCCTCAAACCAGTTAATATTACTTGTATGGCTATTATATCTGACAAAAATGATGCGACAGATAGCACCAAGAGAAAGCAAAGGATAGCGCGAACAAAAACAGCAGCGACAGCAGCAGTAGCGGAAGCAGTAAAATAACACACGAAACAGGCTAGAAATAACATCACAATCACAAAGCCAAGTGGTAGCATCACACCACTCCCAGCAAAGAGTAAGCATGTTTGTACTATTTAAAAAATCTGAAACTGAACATATCGGTGACAAGTAACGCATAAACACCTAAACATCGCCCAACAAATGCCAGCCCTTGTCTGTATTCATTCTTCTTTCGCATGAAGAGGGCCTCCATGATTCGGCGGTCTACGTAGGATCTTTGTCTCTGGGCGAGAATTGAGGCTTGGGAGAATGGCAAAGATGACCCGGGGAAAATGTGACGCTTCTTCCGGTAATGTTCACCCCAAGGCTTCCCCTGTGTGACATTCTTCGCCTGCCCGTGGAGCTCCTCGCTACGTAGACCGCCGAATCATGGAGGCCCTCTTCATGCGAAAGAGGAAACCGGCGGTGAATATGGACAAGGGCTGGCATTTGTTGGGCGATGTTTAGGTGTTAGGCGTTACTTGCCACTGATATGTTCAGTTTGTGCTTTTTGTAATAGTACACACATGCTTACTGTTTGCTGGGAGTGGTGTGATGCTACCACTTGATTTGGGTGATTGTGATGTTATTTCTAGCCTGTTTCGTGTGTTACTTTACTGCTGTTGCTGCTGTCGCTGCTGTTATTGTTCGCGCTATCCTTTGCTTTCTCTTGGTGCCATCTGTCGCATCGTTTTTGTCAGATATAATACCATACAAATTCTTTGTTCTTGACCTTTATTCCTGGAGATGGGCCTGGCTGGAAAATATGGATTTGGATTAATTAAATATTCGTTTGTAGCCGCGAGACCGTTTTTGGGTAGTGGTGTGTAACTGTGTGAAACATGAAGTGGCTACAGTGGAGACTACGCACCCCGAGGAAGGTAACTTAATGGGCATTTCTGAATTGGTCTCCTGTTTCAAGTAAAAACCTTACCCAGTGTTATTGTGTACTTGTTTTCTTCATGAACAGAAGAATAAGGCTAACAGGGATGTGCCTGATGGATCGAGTCCTGACAAGGTAAGTACTGCTATCAAGGCTGATAGCTCTGCAGCACAGGTTCAATGACAATGTGCTGTGATAGAAGAGTTGTAAATTACAATCATTGCCATCACTTTGTCCTAGCTTCCGCAAGAACAGTTGCAGTGGCTGTTATGTCTTTAGCCTATATTTTCTTCACTCTGTTTTCTTTGTATTGCTAACACACTTGCGAAGAGTATTAGACAGCTGTGCACCACATTTGCAAAGGAGTCGGATGACACACCGTGACCTTCTCTTTGTCATGGGCTATATCACCACCAACGATAACTGCTGGGACCGTACTTGATGTTGGAATGATGTACATGGCACAAGCAAAGTTATGACACTGGGTTTGTATGGAGTGAAGCCAGTGCAGCTATCCACGCTGTACTACTAGTGTTATGCCCGGCGTAAAACACGCCGATGCTTTGGTTTGGTCTGATTTCCCCGTGTACACACTGCAAGGACTGCCCCTGGATTCCTTCTGGTGCTACCAGTGTATTTTATTCACTTGTTCCTCTTCATCGTGTTGTGCCATCGTTTAGCCACCCGTGGCGCCGAAACCCTCCATGAAGCTGGCGCGTACGCGTGATGCCGAGGTGCAGACACCGCTACCAGCGCTGATGGAGTTGGACGGACCACAGTCAGGTGCTTCTCAGGATACACCATCAACATCCTCGGCAAAGACGAGCGACAACGCATCGAGCGCTGATACGAAGGATAGAGTACTAAAGGAAGCTGAGGTTGGTTTGATTATTATTGAGTGCAATGGAAGTTTTGCCAGAGAAATATGCACACCATCAAAATGTATATGCCTGAAATCTTTCACTCCTTAGAGTACTATTTTCTTTCAGCAGTAAGTTAGCCCCCCCCCCCCCCCCCCACGTGAACTCCCACTCTTCCACTCTCTTTGTCTCTTTTCTACTCCCTGTCTGTCTCTCACTCCATCCTCAGGGTCTCTGTCCGTCTCTATCTATCTCTATGTGTATAGGTCTAACTATCACTCTATCGTTGTGTGCTCTCACCCCAGTATCGTATAGAGCAGCTGTTGCAGCTAAACTCCGGCATGGGAGAGGAGATACGGCTGCTGCAAGCCATGGTCCAGAAGCTGATGCAGGAGAACAGCATGCTACGCACCATGCAGCAGGGACGCGGCAGCATCAGCAGTAACATGTCTGGCACGAGCAGCCCACGCGCACAGCAGGACATGTACACAACGCATCACAGCCTGTCCCAGTCGGGCTTTGCCGCTGCAAGCGCTGCCGCCTCACTCTCACAGAAGACAGGTGGTGGTGGCGGAGGAGGAGGCCATCGGTTTGTGTCCAGCAAATCTGTACCAGAGCCGTTCACCAAGCCGATCACTCCCTTCGCAAAGAGTAGTTCGCTGGCCGAACCACCGCCGATCCCGGAGAAGAAGCTTCCGCGTCGACAACATGGCCAAGGCGAGCGCTCGTTGTCAACCTCAGCCGTTGTGAACAGTCCCACTTCGCCTACAAGCCCCGGTGCTGTCTTTCACCCGAGCGGCACTCAATTCCCTGCAACCACATCGTCGTCAGCGGCGGCAGCTAGCAGTGGACTGGCTATGACGGACGTCACACGGCAGACTGATGACACGCCACAGAGATCGCCGCAGACAGGCCGTGCATCACCTACAGTAGCACCAAGGCATCACGGCGGTGGCAGTGGACGTGGCTCGCCGCTAGCCGCATCACGCTCTTCGCCCATTGCACGGAATGGCCAGGACAAGGAGAGAGGCGACTCGCCGAAAGACGACCAGCCACGTAGCACAACCGTGAATGGCTCCCCGACAACAGCACCGAAGGAACCACCCAAAGTAAGTGGTACTCTGGCAGTGCTTGCGGGGAATGGTTTTCGAACTGGTCATTGTCAGGTGACTGTGCATATTCTAGAGGATGATGATTTGGACTACATATGCAATGTAGGTCTAAGTGGGGCATTGCTTTGAATTGGAATCATCCTGTGGCTTGCGTATACAGTTGAACTCTCTTAGTAGCTTTACATACTCTGATAATACATACAGTTGAACTCTCTTAGTACATACTCTGATAATACATACAGTTGAACTCTCTTAGTACACACTCTGATAATACATACAGTTGAACTCTCTTAGTACATACTCTGATAAGACGAACACTTGCTTAGTACATACATTGTCTGGGGTGTGTGTCTATTGCTTCATGTTAACGTATGCTTGGATAGTCAGTACCTCGCATACTAAGTACACTTTGCTGCTGCCCATGGCGCGCACGTATTATCAGAGTTCCACTGCCCCGCTGCATGGTCATCATGGTCATGCAGCGCCGGGGGCAGTGCAGGTTGGAGCTGCGTGAAAGATTTCTCAGTACACATAAATGTAGGGCTGTATATGTGCTCTTTGAGATGATGGCTCGGGTGTGTGCATGTATCCACTGCATTCTAATGGATGGTTCTGTGTGGGCCTGTATGTGTGTGTTTGCGTGTGCGTGCGCGTGTGTGTGTGTGTGTGTGTGTGTGCATGTGTGTGTGTGTGTGTGCATGTGTGTGTGTGTGTGCGCGCGTGCACGCGTATTTGTATGCTCTGCACGACAAAGCTACCGCCGAAGAAGCGGCGCGCACAGAGCGTCTACGACGTTGGAGCATCAGCAACAGCAGGAGGAGGTGGTGGTGGCGCAGGCAACGGCGGAGGAGGTGGTACGTCAATGGCTACACCAACCGGCAGTTCTACACTGAACTACCACCGCGCCAGTACGTTTGACGTAGCATCAGCTGACGACAAGACACGTATTGCGGCCACGCTGGGCTCATCCAACGGTCTTGGACGCTCATCTCTGATCATCTCACCAGGGGCAAAGGTAGGGACATGTTACCATGGTTACCGTATAATACACATTGAGGAGCTACTGACATGATTACATGAAGCAACAAATGACGGCTGGAAGTATTTTTATTGTCATCAATGCAAACCCGTCTCTTTCTTAGAGAACGCCTTGTTTGGACTACTAGTCCTTTATAGCCCTCCAAAGTGCCTGAGTATGTACCCTAATCTATATTTTCTGACTTGTCTCATTCTGGACACTTTTAGCATTTCGAAAAAAGGTGTCAAACTGGTGAATTTTTTGGAAAAAGTATTTCGGCATGATCTACCTTTAAAAAGGATTTTGCAGAATAGAGCTTTTCCTCTGTCTACACAGTGCTCGATGCCCTGCATAGGCAGATGTTTCTTGCATTGAAGGCGAAATGAGGTGCTAACAGTTAAAACTGTTGCCCGGTGATTGCTTTTGCGGGAAACTCCTATTTTTTTTAAACTGTACATACTTCGTCCGGAAAGGAAAAAAAAGACGTGACTTCAATCCAACTGCCAGTTCTGTTGAGTTGACCTCTGAAGAATTGAGCAATGGTGAATCCGATTGAAACTCAAACAGAGCCAACAGTTCACAATTATTTTGTATGATAGTGTGCGACAATCCCCACACTGTGTTGCTCTATGAAATCCAATCCAGCAAGTCGATGCAATGCTGGGCGCTGTGCAGCGCTGGACCTGCCAGCACTGGTATACTAGTCATAATTGACAGCTGGCCCGGCGTACAACGAAGCATAGCGCGTACCTGTACAGTTTTGCACAGGCACTTGGCTGATACCACACAAAAGTATGCACTCTCACGACGCAGTTAGCAAAATTTGACAGCGGTCTGGGTCACGTGACTGAAGTGCTTACTTGAGTATTGAGTTGGTGCAGGGCGCTATTGTTGTAGTGCGTTATTTTGTGTACGTTGTGTGTACGTCATGTTGGTGCATGCGCGTGTTGCTGTGGCGTGAAAAGCAGTCTTCGTCTTGAGTTCGTCATGTCTAGTTGTGTTTCCGTAGTCGTCTTGCAATAAACAGTCGTCTAAATGTAGTTATCGTCGTCCCTTTGTATAAGTGTGGAGATGGAACGGGACTGGGAGCAGGTGAAGAAAAGGCAGTTACAACACTATCTTGACGTGAGCGACTGGGTTTCATTGAGCAGCACTGTAGATACCTTCTTCAACAGGTTTCCCCGGTGACTATTGGCTGCTGGATATTTCAGGAGTGCTTCTTAGTTACTACCAACAGGCATCTGTGCTCTGCACACAAAATCATCACTAAGAGCTTCCCTGAGATTGCTCCATCTCCGTACCTGTGTGTAAATGGAGAATGTAAATTCATTGTGAATTCTCGCTCTTTCTCCACACCACCTTTCCAGAACTCCAGCACGTCCAACGCACCCAGATCGAACGCCATCAATCGCTACACTAACGAGCAGTCTGGGTACACTAGCGGTGGCTCACCAGCGATGCGTCGCCCGCCCAAGACATCGCTCACCAGCACGGGCTCGACATCGACCAGCGATGGTACATCGGTGGACGGTGGTGGTGGCAACAGTACAGGTACCAATCGTGGCAAGAAGACCAAAGAGCAAGATTTGGTTGTTCAGCAGACCGAACAGATCACCAAACGCATTCAGGACCTGCTGAGAACGGCCAAGAGCCAGGAGTTGACAAAGTAAGGCTTGTTCCGCGTGCATGTGTGTGTGTGCGTGTGCGTGTGCATGCGTGCGTGCGTGCGTGCGTGTGTGACGGGCATGCACCCACGTGTACAGACACTTGCACATGCAAACACACACACACACACACACACACACACACACACACACACACACATACACACACACATACACACCACACACACACACAAACACACACAAACAGATCACATGTACATACCTGATGAGGTTTCTTTGTGTACTTAATAACACCTACTGCCAGTCTGTGCAGTTGTGACGAGACCATTGTTCCGTTGGCGTGGCAGCACGCTGTGAATACCATACTCGGAATACACGAGAGAGCTTGGAAGCTCAGGACCCTACGCTATGCTTTTTTGCCTAGCTCATCATGCATGTTATTAGAACGGATGGACCTTTCTCTTTGGCCCCAACTTCGTTACGGTCTTATAGCGTTTTACGTCGACCATGACGGCTACAATGCCCAACCATACCACAACGAACTGATCGGCTACATCATTGTACATGTATTGCAAAAAGTTTCCATCTGTTCGAATAACATGCATGATGAGCTAGGCAAAAAAGCATAGCGTGGGGCCCTGAGCGAAATAAATAAACTTTCTCTTTGCATTCGAGAGTAATACGACACCGTCTACCACCTTGATGACCTAGGCAAAAAGCATAGGGATGTTATAAATTTTTCATTTCTCCTATTTTTTTTTCAAAACATAACCTGGGATTCGAACCCGCACTATCGCCCTGCATGCATTCCCCCGATACACTTCGCATACATTCCAAGTTGCTTCACGTTATGATCTTGCATTTGACAGTCCTATTTGAACATTGTGGCCAGCTGTCTTTGATGGTACGGTACGGGACAGGTACGGGATAGCGCCAGGCATGCCGATGGCACAAACAAACACGGAATTAAAGCTGTGTGGACCCTGGCTAGCGCCAGACGTTACTGAAGTAACGTCGTTTGCATAGCTACGGGAATAATTCACTTGAACTCCGATACGGCGTCCTGTTGTACGAGTGCCGGGCTGCCAGCATAGTGCTGCTTATAGAGGGAACTGGGCCTTTGACTAAGTTAGAGTGCCATGCATCCGTGTTTGTAACACTAGGTGCTGTGCAGCCCCACACCTTCCAATTTTGTAGGCGTGCAGCTGCACAGCACCTAGTGCTGCCTGACTTTCAGAGCCCGGATTTTGATGAGGAGCACTCTATTTTTGCTGGGCTGTCGCTGTTAAGTCTTTCTCGATTCGTGTTTGTGCTACCTCCAGTTATGGCTGTGTGTATTTTGGTGTATGTGTGTGTGTGTCTTTGTGCAAGTGCATGTGTGTATTTGTGTGTGTGTGTGTGTGTGTGTGTGTGTGTGTGTGTGTGTGTGTGTGTGTGTGTGTGTGCGCGCGCGCGCGTGTGTGCATGTATATGTGCATGTGTGTATGTGTTCATGTGTGTGTGTGTGTGTGTGTGCATGTGTATGTGTTCATGTGTGTGTGTGTGTGTGTACGCGCTTTCTGTAGGTTTATTGCCTGCTCAAGGAAAATTGCTGCAGCTGTGAATGACATGGCTGCCCTCTTCCCCAATGTAAGTGATGTATGATGTCATAGTTACTGTTCATGACATAATAATGACATCATAAAGGTCAATGTGCTTTTTTTAAACAACAACTGCAGAACTAGGAATCTGACACGTTCTCAAGTAGGAGTCTGACCCATACCATCATCGCTAACGTTAACATAGTGTTGTACCAAGAGTCCATAACCCCCCAGAATGCCCAACTTCACTGATCAGATCCGGGACGGCGAAATCCGTGTTGCACGTCATAGTGTGACATCATGAGTAGGTGAAGTGTGTTTGTGGTGGACCGCGACGACAGAATGACGCAAGTCAGACCCAAAAAATGACGTACATCACGGATTACGCTGTCCCACCACCCCACCCCAGTTGCGCACTCTGGGGGATTGGCCTCTTGATAGAGGTTGTGCGAAAGACGTGATGATGAGTCACCATATTTCCGATAGCCCTTGTAGGTGCCAAGTATACAGCGGAACCGCTCATGGGCGCTATGTATGTGACAGGGAGTCGCTAGTGCATCGCTAGCGCACGCTGTGACGCGACTTTGCGAAAGTGTCTCAATCGATCATGTAATTGTATAACTTCTATTGCAGTATTGGTCTCTCTCTCTCTCTCTCCCTCTCTCTCTCTCTCTCTCTCTCTCTCTCTCTCTCTCTCTCTCTCTCTCTCTCTCTCTCTCTCTCTCTCTCTCTCTCTCTCTCTCTCTCTCTCTCTCTCTCTCTCTCTCTCTCTCTCTCTCTCTCTCTCTCTCTCTCTCTCTCTCTCTCTCTCTCTCTCTCTCTCTCTCTCTCTCTCTCTCTCTCTCTCTCTCTCTCTCTCTCTCTCTCTCTCTCTCTCTCTCTCTCTCTCTCTCTCTCTCTCTCTCTCTCTCTCTCTCTCTCTCTCTCTCTCTGTTGCTACCCGACAGCGACCTGATTCAGACTCTGTACGCATGTCACTCGCATCGCTAGTCAGCAGTGCAGCTAGACTGAAGGAGGAGTGTCGCGTCGGAAATCAACTCTCCATTACCATTCGCCGGGACAACTCCGGAAAGATTGTGCCCGCAGACGAGGAAAAGGTGAGGCATTGACGGTATGCTAGTACATGTACGCGGGGTGAATTTCCAGCAGCAGCAGCCCAGCATGTATGCATCTTGCCCAATGAGAGATTTAGTATTGAGACGTGTGACACCTTATGTCAACAGTTCTCAAGTCAGTTGAAAATGCACTTCAATCCACCGCTACGTATTTGAAGACCAGGAAATTGTATGACCCTGAACCCCGAGACTACGCTCCCAGCATGTCAACAGCTCGACTCCATACTATTCCAGAGGTTCATAAGAACTGTGGCGTGTCTCACTTTCATGGTTGAGTAATCACGGCTTACAACTTGGGATAGAGGTCACCACAGTTGTGGTGTATGACTGCACCCAAGTCCTGTCGTCTTTGTCATTTTCACGACGAGCCTGACCGAGGGCATGGTACAGTGCTGGCAACTGAAATCCGACCACCCCCTGAGCGGTGCGCTCACATCGCAAAGAATCAACACGGGATGGTAAAACTACGAAACAGAGACCGCTAGAATGTGAACCCACCGCTCAGGGGGTCGGATTTCAGTTGCCAGCACTGTACAATCGTTGTAGAATAATGCAACACAGCCGCGGTTGAATATTGCTGTACTTGATCGAGGTATGCATGTCCCGCGCACTGCTCCTATACTTGTGTGGTGTGTATAATTATGCATGCATGCGTACGTGCTGTCGTGTTATGTCATGCCTAGGTTCGAACAGTGACACAGCAAGTCATCCAGTGCGCCTATGACATAGCCCGGGCTGCCAGAGAGCTGGTGCAACACGTCGAAGAGACATTGTTACGCGGCGGCACGGATCCAGATTCATCCAACTGACCCCGGCACGTTGCTGCTGATTCAGTGTGGTCGCTATGTAGGCCGCCCGTGCCTCTCAGCAAGGTCACATGGGTTCTAGTTTGATTGCGATTGCTGATCTTCTCCGTACCGCTGATACAAGCTTGGAAGTGTGATCCTTGAGCGTGCCTTGAGCGTGCACTCGCGCATGACAATGATGACTGTCTCATTATGGCAACATATCCCATTATAATACCATTATGGTCCAATGATGGCGATTATAGAATAAGAGATGGGGTCCGAGCCACAGCTGATTCCTGCGAGAGCCTATGATGGAGTCTGAGCCACAGCTGATTCCTGCCATGCGTCTTGTTGACCGAGCAAGTTAGTTGTGCTGTCTTTGACCGTGCCCAGTTCTCTGAACATCCAAACTGAGATATCCCATCATCGTGCTACGACCGCCAGAGATTTGCAGTCCTGTACATTGTAGACCCTGTAGCTACATTCGGCGGTAATCTGGAGAAGGTAGCAGATCACTGCTGGTAGACCACTCACACAGATTGCATTAATTTTAGTGTGGTCCCAACACTCGTTATTGAGACAACCTCTGACCCAGTCAGTCCTGTAAAGACGACTTTTCCCTCTAATTGTTGTACCTGTTGTTGTCCAAATAGATGCTATTCACCACTATGGCCGCACATGCATTGTGCCGCTGTCAGTTGAGTGTAGCTTATCACTGCCACGTGGACATGTGGATGTTGCCCGGCGGCGTGCTGCGGCTGGCTTCCTTGTGTTTCAGTTCAGTTGAGTGCTGTTTTAGTGCAGCATTGCCATGCATCATAGTACTGCCTCTTGTTTGCGTGCTCTGTCTTGATTGAAGGTGGCGAAGAGTCCTGCTCACTGGCTCTCGTTCGGTTTTGTCGGCAAATTTCTCCCGACCTCAATGTACTTTTGCCCGTCCCATTATTCATAATCCCCCCCCCCTTTTTTTAATGGCTTTTCTAGCACTGGTGTGTGGTATTTGTCGTGTGTCGACGGCAACCAGCTCACTTGCCAAGCCGCAGTCTCATGTCCAGTGCCGTGTATCTATAGCTTCATTATCTTCAAATTTACAAATTCACCCTCAGTCAAAGTTCAATCTAGCTTCACTGAGTGCCAGTTTGTTTGGGTTTCGGGATGGCATGGTCATGTCCAGAGTTACCGTTTCCGAGCAGGGAGTTGTGAAGGGCTTTCACGTCACGCTCCCTGCGGGTTCCGAGTGTTGGCCCGTGTGCTGCAGTCACGTATGGCTGGTTTTGCACAATTATTGAATTATCAAGTTTCGAAGTAAGACCGCTGGGCTGCACAGAGCCCACCAGCCGTGTTGTAATGTATTTCAGTGCTAGACTGACCAGGCTCCTGTGCAGTATAGAAGCTTGGTGCATGTCCACTGAGCAGGAGGGCCGAGATGTGTACTGTGTGAGCACTGAGATATTTGGGTAGCTCACTTCAGGGTTCCCCAATATGCAATGCACGTACCGGTACCACGTTCATATTGAATGTTTTATAGAATGTTTTATTTTCATGCGCTCGTGCCGTGGAGGCGGCATGCAGTAGCGGCTATGGCCTGGCACAATAATTATAATTAATTTTGTCACGATGTCAGCAGTCTTTTTTATTATGAGTAGCCTTCCAAATGAAAAGTGCTGGAGATAACCAAGGACGGTGCACCGGTGGCGAAGGTGGAAGTGACCACATGATAACATCAACAAAATTTAATGCTAGTACTGACCTAATTGTTAGATTGTGAATTACAACAAGGTTTATCTAATGCTGGTTTACCAGTACAGTGTTGGATTATAATAGTACTGACCTGTACATGTACAATCAAGAGTTCATAATGAACTCTTGGTACAATCAAGAGTACATAACTTTTTTTACGTACTCTTGGTACAATGTGTGTACTGCACGACCCTCTCCCCAGCCCCTCGGACCCCTCCCCCCCCCCCCCCCCTTGTTGCCCGCTCCTCGGCCTCCTCGACCTCCCGCTACATTTGTACTTGTACTTGTCATTCATGACGTCATGCGTAAGAGACTTTCAAATTATTTCCTAGATTTTCAAAATGTTTCGTGGCTTTTTGCATGTGAATCACAAGTCGCCTTTCTGTTTGCCTGGTGTGGGCGATCTTCTTTCAAACAACAGTTGACCAGGCGAAGTGCTTGTCTTTGAAGTTTCTTTAGATTCTTATTTTGCCTATCGTTGACAAGTGGTTGACTTGTAAGTTAGATAGGTGTGCTCACAAATATCCTGCTTGCGAGCATTTGATTGAGGCTTGGGACTTGCACATACCGTAGGAGAGGCGACATGAGGTTGCTGCTGCGAAATGATTGTGATAGCAGTGTCTGGGTGGACGTGTCACCGAACGACACCCTGGCGGACTTGAGATCGAGTCTACCGTCCGACGCACAAGATGCGGCACGTTTACCATGCACTACAGGCAGCAGAGCTGCGTTCGTGATGCGAACTGGTCGCAGAGTACCTCTGTATGAATTTCCTGAGTTGTCATCAGAAATTCAGGATGGAGGTGAGTGCTTGGAAAATGGTTGGAAAATCATTGCCGAAAATGTTGGTAGAGTAGCAGGGTACAATGACAGCACTAAAATAATCAGAGTGGGATACTTCTCACAGAGGTGTGCACAAAACAAGGGTATGAGAATTTTAAAAGCGTGTGGAATTTGATGCCTTTCGCGCCGCACACGTACAGGCGCGTAGCCGGCAGTGTTTCCAGGTTGCCCGGAAACCCCGTCCATGGGTTGCAGCGCAGACGCCGATGGCTTGGGAAACTACAGTAAATCTCTCCTGATCCTGAGTGCATGCATATGCAGTCACCGGAAGTACAAAACAACAGTGCGGGGTGCATGATGCTGCACGCATGCACTTGAGTGAGGTGTGAAACTATGTTGCTATGACGAGTGCTTCGTCAGCACCAACTAGCTGAACACCTACGCCTACGGTTATTGTAAAAGTTCTCTTTCATATTGCGTATTTTAATTCAAAAATTCTTAGATGTGAATGAACCACAACACATTGACTATACTTCAGTAGTATTGTAAAGTCCCAGATTGTGCCTCTCAGGAGCTTGGAATTTGAAGATACCCTAAAGCTTTTGCCAGGGGCCCTGCCCCACGCACCCCGCAAGGGGCTTTACCCCACCGGGGGACACCCTCGGACCCCTATCTCTTAGCCTGTCACCAGGAAACCCTATATATAGGGTTTGACATAACGCTACACATAAAGACCCTATATATAGGGTTAGGACCCCTAAAGAAAGGGTTTGATCAGTCCTCACAACTGGGCACACAATACACACAGTTTCACTTGTTTTTTTTTTTGATATTTTCACTGCATTGCCATTGATGTTAGCAGGAGCGCTCCTACGACGTGCGCGAGTGTCGCCGCATTTGCTGCTTCCGACCCACGTGTGGATCAGCTGATGCAGAAACGGCAATGGCGGGAGCGGCAGCTGCGACAGCCGCTGTTGATGCTTCGCCTTCTTCTTCAGGAGCATCCGACGCTGCTGGAACATCGACATCATCATCCTGAGTCGACACCAGGTCGCCAGGAACATTCTCATCGCCCGAGTTCGTCTCCACTAACTCAAGTTGCTCTTCCTCCATCGTGAAAAATCAAACCCTAGATATAGGGTCTAGAAAATGTTACGACAGCGCTGCACTAAAACTAACCGTACTCGAAGAAAACAGCAACAAAATGATCACGGTCTTCAGCAAGAGAACCGTACGTACATTCTACGTATGTAGGCCCAGGCGTCTAGTTGCCATAGCAGCCAAGTGGGCTCTCAAGAGAGCTCAAGATAGAACGCGCGGCTGAAAACCCTATATATAGGGTTTGACAGGCTAAGAGATCTGGAAAGCGGCATCTGGAAACCCCCTCCCAAACCCTTCCGGCTACGCGCCCGAAGTACAGTAAAACCTGAGACTACCGACCACCCCTTGGTGCCAACAAAAGCGGTCGTTAGTAGCAGGTGGTCTTTAGTTAGAGGTTTGCACTGCGTGACCATATACGGATCCCATTATATGATATGTATGTCAAAATGCAGCTTATACAATTCCCCAGGACTTGCGCAATGTCATTCTTATTTCAGGTCAAACAACACTTGGAGAGAAAGACGGAGAGATAGATAGAGACAGAGAGAGAGAGAGAGAGAGAGAGAGAGAGAGAGAGAGAGAGAGAGAGAGAGAGAGAGAGAGAGAGAGAGAGAGAGAGAGAGAGAGATTATTTTTTTGCAGACTTCATATTCAGCTGCTACTTCTGAAGCCAGGAGTCAAACGTTCCCTGGGGAAGTTTCGTTTTGCGCTGGGCTTTAAATTTGTTCATGTGATCAATCGTACCGACTGTCCTTGTTGTGACTCCTCGATTTCTTGAACGCGATCCTTCAGCATCAGGACCTTGTGGTGCTGCTTTGTTTCTGGATTCCTTGATGCCATCGTCCAAGTAGTAACATCGATCAGAGAGCGCTTTCGATGCGCTCTCCAATACGTTTCCTATCATGTTTATTCTTGACAGCGCTTGAAAATTTGACAGATGTAGTGCAGTCCACGCCGACTCCACGGTCAAAATTACCTGCGTTCATTTGTTCAGCTGTAGTATCGAAAGATTCTTTTCAGGACCATGGAAAATCAGCAAAATTTCAAGAAGGAGCTTCGAGCAACATTTGATTTCCCACATCGCGGTCGCTAGTTACGGGTCAAACATCGTCTTTGGGACAAGAAAAGGCGGTCGCTGTCGCGTTCAGCAGGTAGTCGCTAGTCACAGTGCATTTTGAATGTGAGACCTTCCGTGCCTGGCGAAGTGGTCGGTAGTAGCAGGCTGGTCGCTAGTCACGGTGGTCTGTAGTACCAGGCTGTTTGCTAGTCACGGTGGTCTGTAGTACCAGGCTGGTCGCTAGTCACGGTGGTCTTTAGTTACAGGTTTTACTGTAGTACCAGGCTGGTCGCTAGTCACGGTGGTCTTTAGTCACAGGTTTTACTGTACTCATGTACAGTACATCGCCAATGGAAAGACATATTTTGACAACATAACACATCACAATGAAACAGAATCTGATATTTATCAGATTCTGTTTCATTGTGATGTGTTGATGCAATACTCATTGACATGTCATGACAATGAGTATTGCATCAACAAGGGAATTCTCTCAGCACGAAGGGGCTAGAATAGTGTCTTCTACCCCTCTCCCCCCCCCCCCCCCCCCCCCCCCACACACACATACATGCACATCTCTGGTTGAGAGAGTGAAGGCAATCAAGTCTCAGAAACGCCACGTGATTTTGTCTAGGCTATGGCCAGTGGGAACGCTCGCACCCAATCTGTGGTGCACGCATGACTCCCGACCATACTTAGTAAGTAATTACACACCATATATGGCTAAAGATGACTTATTTTTTTCACAGGGGAAGTTTGCCATGGTCACCATGTATGCTGGATCTGCATGACCCCTGCCGGTTTTAGCACAAAGGCATTGTTAGACACAATCATTACGTGGAAACTAGTGCGTGGTACAGTCAGACCTCGCTTATCCGGTCCTCTTTTATCCGGATCCCTCGTCATCCGGAAGAAAATCGTTGGTCACCGATTTACAGCATATGCCATGCATACATACAGTATGTGTGCTCGATTATCCGGTTCCCTCGCCTATCCGGATATTTTAGTGGAAAACGGATGTGTGCGGTTAAGCGAGGTCTGACTGTAGTTGAAGCAGACCCTGACTGTGGTATTCAGGCTGAAAAAACGATCATGCATGCCCGATTGTACTGGGGTGTTTTCCCTCACTATTAGTGCGCATGCTGGTGTTTCACAGTGAGAAACCTAAGCAAGCCAAAGTGCTCAATACCGCAGGCAAACGGCAAGAGTACATGATAACCAGAGTGTGCAGCTCGGATGGGTTGCTGTCATGGTGAAAATCCATGATTACATTATTTTAGTAATGTAGTGCGTACGAGCAGGATTCAAGCAGGTCTCTTTCTGCACAACTGCAGCTCAGTTCTACGCACTACGCCACTTCCCGCCCCAGATCTGCACCAAATATGATGTAATCGCGGAATTTCGCCGTGACAGACACCCATAGTAGAAAAGTCACAAGCTGCACACTCTGGGTTTCATGTACTCTTACAAACTGTGAAGCAGTGACACGTTTAGTTTATTGCAGTGAAGGTTGAGACGACGTCCCAACTCAGAGTTTCATGCCGGGTCAGTAATGATCTCATCAGGTGACTAAACACTTTACTCTATAGAGTGGAGCAGTCCAGCTATTTCCGGTATCATGTTTAGTCCAATTTGAAACTCGGATGTTGAGCCAATAAGAAATGTAGAAAGGAAAAGGACATAATTAGGTCTGTCAGTTTTGTGCCTAGTTGTTGCACTTTCTGACTGTATATATTATCAAGTGAGTTACAGTGGTGGACAGTTGCCCTTAACTCGTATCCGTATGTCCTTTTCCTTTCTACATTTTTAGTTCCCTGATGATCGCTGACCCGACATGAAGCTCTCTCTTGAGTTACGACATCGTCTCACCTTTCATTGCAATGACCTGAACGTATTGATGTTCTGTACAACAGGCAGGTGCTGAAGATTGTACCGTTAACCCCGAGTTTCACGCACAGGGCCATCATCAGACGTGTTGATGTTTTGCACATTGTTGCTGGTTTTGTTTCCTTTCCTTCTCAGATGAGATTCTTCTGTTGAGTTCCTCCTTTGCGATTGACACGTCCAGCATGACACCTCGATCCAAGGTGTGTTGTGGGCCACGCGTCATGCGTGTTTATGTTAATGGCAGCATTGCACACATGTACATGCTTGTGTGTGTGGGGGGGGGGGGGGGGGGTATGTGTATGTGTGTATGTATGTGTGTCTTCATGGCATGCACATTGCTTGTTGTTACAGATATGTACATGCAAACACACACACACACACACACACATGCAAACACACACACACACACACACACACACACACACACACACACACACACACACACACACACACACACACACCTTCACCATGAGCACAAACTTACGGTTGTACTCAATCAGCGGACAGAACTGTTTCGTCCTTTACATCAGCGCAGCACAGAGAAAATGAGGCCGAACCTGATAGCAATGAAAAGTAAAATTTCCCAAAGCCAGATTTAAACCAGGCCCGAACGTGCCTTGCCAGAGTGCTCAAACTGACAAGTCAGCGAGCTCTGCCGAAACGTATGGTTGTATATGTGTGTTGTTGTTCCCTACAGGATTCCCATGCGGCTCAGAGTGAGGTAGATGAAGTGACGGCGGGTATCCCAGCAGTACTATTCCGACCCAGGATATCAGAATCAGAATCACCAGTAAGTACTAGTACTGGAAGACCAGTACGAGTAGTGTTAACGAACATTTAATTCTAACGATTTAACGAATTAAAAAAATCGTGAACATTTGAAGTCGTTATGTGCAAAGCGATATGTACATGTACCGTTATTTGCCGGTTTTGAGACAGCATTTCCTAGAATTTCACTTCGCTACCCCTTGAAAATCCGGGGATCGCTAACTTAAATTGACTCTAAAATATCTGGTCTTACAGCAGATTGCTTGTACGGTTGTGCTCAATGAAACCCGATCCAAAGTGTATATATCGCGCGCTCGACTTGCACGGCCCTTGACACCCTGGAAGTGGTACGAATGCTGCTGCTGCTGTACACGGGTACAAGTACAGTGATTTTCGATTTTGACAGCATGTTACAAGGCGAGGACGCATGGTGCTCCTGACTACAACCATAACCCGGTTGGCAGTCCCGGTCATGCGACCATTTGAACCGTATTGGGAAAACCCAGGTTTGGACCCTCTTTACTCTAGGGAGTTTAAAACTACCAAGCAAGGCTTCTTTATCTAAGTACAGTGATGTAATCGGAACTGGTCCAGGGGCGCCAGCGTGTGCACTTTGGGTCGGATTTCAGTGAGCGCAACCACAGTGCTGCTCAATAAAATCCAGTCGCGAGAGTCAAGTTGATGCCGTGCACCTTTTCGCAGCCCAGTGTTCGCAGGTCTTGGGCTGCGCAATGCCCGGCACGTACTTGAGAAGCTCGACTGGATTTCATTGAGCAGTACTGGTGTATAAACACACTGTGAAGGAGGTTCAGACTCACGCATGGTCTAATAGCGATTTTAGGGCAGGAAGTCTTGCCGGTGTCTGCCTGGAAAACATGATAATTTTGTATTCCTTTGTTCAGAACTTGGGTTCACCTAGTAGTTACGCTGTTGCGTTGTCATCCGACGCTATAACCAGGTATGCTGATGGTGAGCGTACTGGTTGATAACAATGACATCTACGCTATAACCAGGTATGCTGATGGTGAGCGTACTGGTTGATAACAATGACATCTACGCAGAAATAACAAATAAGTTACACGGCACGAGAGGTCTTCAGAACAGCGACTACTGTAGTCCCTTACACCAGCCAG